TACTCCCTTTAAGAAATCTAGTTTCACAGGTTTATCATATGATTTCCTCTTCCTCTCAACTTTCAATATGAAATAATCCTGATCAGGCCAAGGACAGGCCAGTGATACTCTTTATAAGAATCCACTCTACCCTTTACCAGGAATACATTATTCAGTCTCTGTACAGCTTGGTCTGTTCAAAAAGAAGATTTTTAAATTTAAAAGCAAAATTGTCTTCAGCAAAAGAGTTGTAAATTTAAGGGCTAAATTATATTATGAAAGTCCAGGAAATCCATGATTGATGAGTTTATCCTTTAAGAGCAGTTTTAACCAACCAAAAGAACTTTTAAAACTTTGACAAAATCCATATAACCAAAGGCAGTATATGAATGAAGGGAAAAATTGCTTGCTTGTGGAAATAATAACTGAGAATATTTATCTCATGAGATTATATGGATGTTCTCAGAAAGCAAATAAAAATTGAATGATATAAGTAAGCCTATTTTACTTGCAGTTTTACATCAGAAGCCTTTGGGACTGGTAATAAATTTAGGCCACTAGGATTTTATTTAAGCTATCCTGCCAACCTCAAAGAGTAATATACTTCTCTCCTAGATTAATGCTGGGTGAATCTGGAGATTTTATATATATATATATATATATATATATATATATATATGCATTCAAATCTATATATTTAAATATACATATGCATTCAAATTCACTTATATGAATATATATTCAGACTTAACATTTTGCTTAAATTATTAGTATGACTTTTTAAAAGAAAACAATCCAGTGAAGCTAATTAGAAATGAAAGTAATGGTCTTTAATTCCAATAAAATTCTCCATTAGATGGTCCTATAAACCTATAGTAAGGAATGGAACGTGGCATCAGAAAAATACCATGTCCCAACTACTAAGGAATAGAAACACATAAGAACCAGGAGTAGATGGACAAAAGTTATTTTTAAACTGAATTGGCAGTTTTCAGAACTATACAGAGAAGACACTGAAGAAAATGAGAGATTCTGTCCTCTATCATAAAATATATGTTCCATAGAAATGATGATAATTAAAACAAAAAAATTGGAATACTGTACTTGTTTTCCAGGGTTTCCATCACAAAATACCATAGACTGGGTGGCTTAAACAACAGAAATTTATTTCCTCACAGTTCTGGAATTGAGAAGTTCAAGATAAAGGTGATGGCAGGGTTAGTTTCTTCTGAAGACCTCTCTCTTTGGCTTCTAAATGGCCGTCATCCTTCAGTGTCTTTACATGATCTTCTGTGTGTGTGTGTGTGTTTGTGTCTTCATCTCCTCTCCTTATAAGGATGTTAGTCATACTGGCTGGGGCTCATCCAAATAACCTTATTTTTTCTGAATTACTTTTTTTAAGGTCCTGTCTCCAAATTCAGTCACATTCTGAGGTGCTAGGAGAAACATGGATTTGGGGAGAACACAATTCAACCCATCGCAGATGTCAATAGCCACCAATATGTTTTTAATGTTTCTTTATTTATTTTGAGAGATAGAGGGACAGAAAGAAAGAGAAGCGGAGAGAAAGGAAAAAGAGAATCCCGCAGAGTCCAGGTTGGGGCTCTATCTCAGGACGTTGAGAGCATGACCTGAGCCAAAAGCAAGAGCTAGGTGTTTGACCAACTGAGCTACCCAGGAGCCTCTAATATTTTTAAAGAAAAAGATATTAAGGGAATTGGTACACTTGAAAGAGTACATTCATTTTATCTCCTTATCTTCTCAGACAAATCATCTAATTTCCAGGGTCTAAAGTTCAACTATAAAATGAAAGGATAGGACTTAGCACCTTAAGTCTATATACATTCTAAAATTTCTGAGCCCTAAACTTGTAATTTCCAAACAAGAAATAGAGAACATGCAAAATTTAGCCCACTAGTAGCAGTTTATATGCATCTGCTTTTTAAAATTCTCATTAACAGACTGAAAGCCTGAATGGAGAGAACAAAGGAAGATTCTGACTGAATATCCAGAGCCAGATTATGTCAATGGACTCCAGAAGCTAGAAGTCAAGTTGCCTTGAGATCAGAAGTAATAATCAAAGAAGAGTTATAAAATGCCTTTATCACAGGTCAAAACAAGGCAAAGGTTAGCAGATCCAATTCAACAAATATTTACTAGATATAATGAGCAAGGGTCCTATCAAGTGCCCTCGGTATAAAAGTAGACAGTTAAGAGAGTGGTGTTTACAGGGAATCATGGGCAAGGAAAAGAGGCTCTGAGCCCAATTTGTGCTGTCAAGAGAAGTTTCCTAAAGATGATAACCCCTATGCTGAGTCTGAAATAAGAGTGACAATTTAGATTAATGAAAGGAGTCACCCTCAACATATTGCTATAAAAAACAAACGTAAAAATAAAATATTATTGCCTGGAAATGCTCTTGACTTTGATACATCATATTAACTTATATAGTTAAATTAATTTTTTTTTAATGATTTATTTTGTTTTTATTACTGAGGGACAGATTACCCAGAGGAAAAGCTGAACTTTTTGGTTTTAATTCAAACTATGTAATTGTCACTACGAGCCACAAGAGGGCAGCAGTTTTAACGAGTACAACAAAAACAGAACTTAAAAATTACTATTCTGAGAGTTTTAAATTAGAATTTTAGGGCTAGAAGAAAACTAAGAGATGCATCTTTTATATAAGAAATTTCATTTTCTTCCATACAAATCATGTGTAGACATAAAATATATCTGCTCTATTTTAAGATAGAAAATCTGTATAAAATTATTTACCGTTTAACATACATATGCATGTCTTTACACTTTTTTTAAAATTTTTTAAATGCTTACTTAATTTTGAGAAAGACAGAGAGACAGAGAGCACACACGAACAGGGGACAGGCAGAGAGAGACGGAGACACAGAATCTGAAGCAGGCTCCAGGCTCTAGCTGTCAGCACAGAGCCTGACGTGGGGGCTCAAACCCCTGAACTGTGAGATCATGACCTGAGCTGAAGTTGGCCACTTAACCAACTGACCCACCCAGGCGACCCTTCTTTGCACTTTTAAAGTACTTTCATGAATGTAACAATAATATTCTTTCCTTTGTTCACATATGAATTTGGAATATTATTTGAATAGAGTTCTGCTGTAATGGAATTCTAGTTTTATACTTGTCTATAAGATCTTTCATAGACACTTGGCCAACAGTGCTCTCTGTTTAATTCTTAAAACTTAAAAATAAACTTTGTTTTCCCCTGAGAGAAGATGAAAATAGAAGTGAGGTTTAAAGTAAAACAAAGTATTTGCAGAGGTCAATGATTAGGAGAAAGAGGAGGCAGATGTAAAAGCCGAGGGAACAGGCTGTTACCTTAGACACTGCCACGTTCCTAAAGCCACTCAAGTTTGCATGTTACCAAAGATTTAAACTTATTAGCATTGCTTATTAGACCTACAGTTTCACTGTATTATCTTTTGGTGAATAGCATATTACCATATAGCTATTTAATAGGCCCAATATCTGACACCTCAAATTGTATTCAAGAGGAATGGTGATTTGAATAACAGAACATATAATAACATCCACAAAAAAAATATATATATAAAGAAAAAAATTTATATTAAGAAAATTTGCTTAATGTTATAAATAATCATAGAGAAGTCAAAGACTGTTATTTCTTTAGATAAAAAGACCCTGCTCAACTAAAAAAATATATGAGGCTACTCTTAATTTTATTTTTATGTTTTTATTTCTTTATTTTGAGAGAGAGAGAGGGAGAGAGAGAGAGCACAGCAAGAGAAGGACGAAAGGAGAGAGGGAGAGAGAGAATGTCAAATCCCAAGCAGGCTCTGCACTGCCAGTGTGAAGCCTGACACCAGGCTTGATCCCACCAACCATGAGATCATGCCCTGAGCCCAACCAAGAGTTAGACCTTTAACTGACTGAGCCATCCAGGTGCCCTAAGGCTATTTTTAATTTTCAAAACTCCTCTACATCATCACAAGAACCCAACTTCTCCACTTTCTGGCATCTAAAATAATAAGTAACTCTTCTGTTCCACTTCCTGGCACTTTAGCAGGGACTCCCGGAAAAGTGGAAGCTAGAGATAATTGCATTATGACATCTTTGGGTTTCCCCTTCATTCACTCACTCATTCATTCCACCAGTATTTGTTGGGCATGTGAGCTGAGCACAGAAAAAGTGAGAGCATCAAAAAAATAAAGACGTATTCTCTCATGGAGTTTGTAATGCAATGGTGAAAATTAAATGCTAAACGAAAAGATCTATTACTACAAATTGCGGTGGTGATATAAACGAAAGGTCTGGGGTGCAGTGATAACCATTAGATGACAAAAGGGTACCAGGTTGTATTGTCAGTCACAGAAGCCTCTGAGTAGGTGACATTTAAGTTGAGGTCAGAAGGGGGCAATGAGAAACAGCTTCAAGAACAGTGTATCTATTGCCCTGAGTAGGGAGTGCTTGGCCCGTCAAATAACTGAAGCTTTTAATTGTGTCAATGACTAACACGCATCCTGTGGAAGAAATAAGGTATAAAAGTCAATTGTGTAAAGAATATATATTACATTGATCATTAATGGGTGGGAACTAAAAGGTATTGCCAAGCCCTCGTCTAAAGGGCAGAATCAGAGACAGGATGCTGAATTGAGGGATTCAAGACAGTGCAGGCCTGAGTTCACAAACTCACAAGACTGTCAGGGAATCAGATTGGACAGTGCTTTCTCTTTTTTTCTCACAGGGATGATCGAATGAGATAATATACTGAAACCACAAAATTTACAGAGCAGTATGCACATCTTGTTTATCCACTGTTAATATAAAAGCATTCCCAAATTTAATCCCACCTTAATTCCTGTCCCAAATATAAAACATTATTTATCTCTTTAAATTCTCTAGCTCAAGATTCCCAAGACCTCATCCTGAAAGAAGGTCTTCCTTTTGTCTGTAATAAACCTGCTTTTCCTACTAATGAAAAATTATAAAGTTAACATTTTATGCAAAGCCTATTTCAAACTTACATTCCAATGCATTAAAAAGAAGTTCAAAATCTTCTTTTGTTTGAGGATTATGCCTCCGGTTATAGTCTAATTTCATCCATTCTTCTTTTTCTCTTATCTTCCTTTGTTCTTCCTCTGCTTCCCACTTCAACCTTAACATTTTCTGTCTTCTTAAATTCTCTACCATGACTTTAGCACGCCATCGTCTATAGTAAGTCTGTAACACTATCACCTATAGTTAAATTAAAAGGAAATAAAAAGTATCTACCATCAATTATATCAGATAATAACAAAAGGCAATAGTGATTATTTCTATTCCAGTGCAGTAACTACTAAACAAACTGGGAGTCTAGGCTTTCCTCTATGCCAGACATTCTCACACACATCATAACATATTAGTGTGGATAACACGCATCAGCTATTTGACTCTGAAATCTAACAAATACACCTACCTGGGAGGTAGTTAGTACAGTGCTCAAAAGCATAGACTCTGGGGTAAAGTTTAGTCTAAATCTCCCCTCTGCAACTCACTAGTTGTTTGATTTTGGTTTATTTTCCATATAACATTCTTAGTTTAACCCTGGTACATGCATCACAAGTCCTCAATAAATACTATTATTATCATGAATATTAATTATCTCTAGTTTATCTTAACTATCATTAACTTAGGCTCATATTTAAAACAAAACTTCATTACCTAAACATAAAGCAGATAGATTATACATAGAAACTACCAAAGGTAGGTTAGATAAAAAGGGGACTTAAGCAAACAGTATTTATAAATTGTGAGAAATATGTCTGAAGTCATAGTATAGTACTAAATCCTCAAAAAAAAAAAAACTGGCAATATGGCTGAGTGAGGTTTTTTTTTAATTTACTAAACTCATAAATAAAAATAAAATGAGAAGAGGTTACATCAAGATTGAGGACAGAGAATATGCTCACACAATCCCTTACTATATCCGAATCTCTGGCAATTAGGAAAATCATAAAAGCAGAAATTGGTAAGGACACTGGATCATACTAATGGAATCTTCCAAAGCAACAGAAACTTTGAAGAATCCCCTCAAGAAGGGAGACAGGGGGAATAAAGTGAAGAAGGACTCTATGCCTAATCATGTACAGGGAGGATGGAGAGGCAGGCTAGAAAATACAGAAGGGCCTGTGAGACTGTTTCAAGCCTTAAACCACTAGAACCTGTGAGCAGAAGGGGTGTGTTAGGGCACATGACAAAGTGACTGCTTGAAAAATGCCAAATGGACAGGCTTCTCTAAACAGTCTAGGGAAACCGCACCCATGGGGGACACCCATGATGAATAGAAGCCCCCACCTTCAGAAAACAAGCTCTCTTCCAGAGTCAAGCCTTGGCCATCCCCTAACACCACTGTGGTAAGGCTGTCGTAAACAAATCTGCATAGCACACTGGACATAGGGACCTCAAATACCCTGCCTACACACCCCTGAATAAACCAAACATTTGGGAAGAACCCACAAAATATAAGGCTCCTCATTCAACAAAGAAAAGTTTACTTTTGTGTGGAACAGAAATACTAAGAACAGTGGTTCCCAAAGAGCGGTGGTCAGACCAGCAAGCTCCAGACAGAATGAAGAAAGTTATTAGAGAAATTACTCAAAATATACTAAAAGAACAGGTCTCCAAACTAAACTCATGAGCTTTCAGACAGAAAAGTTCATGGCCAAATCTCAAGCATATCACAATAAGATTAATAGAGATAAAGAAAAAAATCCTAAAAGCTTCCAGGAAGAGGAAACAAAGAAATGAGAAACTGACATCAGACTTTTAATCAGAGTTTCAGTGTTATAAAGGAAAATAATTTTGAAAACAAGTTTAAATCTAATTATATACATGCACTCAAACTAAATTTCAAGAATGAGGTTGATTCAATAGGACTGAGAGGTTTATCTCCCATGCATCATCTCTGAAAAATTACTAGAGAATGTGTTCCAGCAAGAAAAATAAGTTAAAATGGAAAGATTAAAGAATTGAGAAAAGATTATGTTGTTAAAGAATTGAGAAAAGAGTTGTTAAGCTAAATAAATCTTATTTGGAAAATATCATAATATCAATATAAATATATCAAACAATAAAATGAAGTTATAAATATGTAGTAAATTATAATTATATAGTAAATGATATATATAATTACAATTATATATATACATATATAATTATAATTTCAGATTGAATCTCACTAGATAGGAGGAATGAGGGAGGAGGACAAGTAAATGAAAAACAGAAAACCCAGCTAAGGGCCTTGACTTATTCAAGAAAAAGGTAGAACCTGATTAAGTACGCCTTTGGTATAAAAAATTTAAGAAATAAAAAAATTTCTAATTTTTATGAGGAACCATTAGAAAAACAGAAACAAAGGACCTGCTTCTGAACTATGAAAGAAAGAACGAAAGAAAGAAAGAATGAAAGAAAGAACGAAAGAAAGAAAGAAAGAAAATGTTTAGTCAAACAAACAAAAGGAAGAAAAGGCTAGTAAAAGAAAAACAAACAAAATGTGAATAATATAAAAACCAAAATGAGATGGCAGGAATGAGTACAAAAATATCAATAGTCAATGTGTTTACTTCTTAAAACACAAAAGATTTAAAATAAATACTAAGTATTAAAATCCGAAGCTCAAGAATAAAGTAAATATGATACAAGTAGAAAGGAGTCAGTGAAGACAAAAGAGGAACTTATTACATGGAAGTTTACTCTTATATTGTCTTTTAATGCATCCCTCTGTGTACAGCTCACATCCCACTTTTCTCCTCCCTAGGAACCTCCTATTCACCTCCCAAGATTGTTTGGGGCAAATCGATTTGGTTCTTGATGCCATCCCCCTGGACAAGCATTTAGATTTTCACTTCCTCAGCTTAAGTTAAGGTAACATTTCTCCATCTGCTTTACAACTTTAAAATAATTGACTGGCATTTACTCTTCTCTCTTTTCATGTATTCTTCGTTCCTGTGTGTTTACAGTTTTTAAATTCTGTTTAATACCATTTTATTGGAGTTTGGAAAGTGTTGTAGAGATTTCCATCTCCCCACCTAGTATTCATTCTCCCCTACTTCCTTAATAAGAAAATCTCAATCTTACTGAGAAGCAACAATATGAAACTTTAAAAATGTATTTATCACACACGCACAATGAGGATAATCACATGAAACACTTTGGGCCAATGAGATGGAATTGGAAGACACTGGGTGGGGCTTTCAGGGAAAACTCTTGAGGGTAGCATACATGGTTCATACTCCCTTGCCCTCTCCCTTCTTCCTGCATAGATTGCAGACATGATGCTGAAGGCTGACTAACCATTTCATTATCATGTAAGTAATAAACTCATAAGATTAATGGAATGGAAAGGTAAAAGGAGTTTAGGTTCTTGATGGTATCACGGAGCCACTATCCAAGACCTGTACAGTCAAAAACTAAAAAATAGTTTGGACTGAGAACATAAAAAATCTATCAGGCTTGAATAACAGGCATTAATAGGCAGCTATGAAGTTAATAGGAAACAATATTTCTTCCAAGGACATTCTGCAGCTATAGAATGTCCTAACAATCCCCTCTTTTGAGTGAATACTATTATTCTCTGCTCACTGAAAAACTTGCTACTCTGAAATCATAATCTATCAGAACCTTTGCTGTTTGAAATTGACAACTAAGACTGAAACATTCCACTCTTGCCAGGAAGATCTATGTCAGTTTGACAAAGAGAAGCAGGCTTAATTTACAACCAACATGCGGAACTTCAGGGAAGGAACATTCCACATCTCTCTTAACTTTGTTACCAAAGGAACAAAGCTGGAGATACCACACTCCCTGATTTCAAACTACATTACGAATCTATAGTAATCAAAACAGTATGGTACTAGCATAAAAAGAGACCCATAGATCAATGGAACAGAGAACCCAGAAATAAGCCCATACATATATGGTCAATTGATTTACAACAGAGGAGGCAAGAATATACAATGGGAAAGGACAGTCTCTTCAATAAATGCTACTGGGAAAACCGGTAGTTGTTATGAGTGATCCGGTCACAAACAAGCTGGGGCAGGGAAGGAAGCCTTTGTGTTCTCGGGCCTTCTCACTCGCCAAGCCACGCTCCTGTGGAGCAACCAGTCCGTCCTGCCTTCCCCAGACCCTTAAGGCCTGTACCAGCCACAGTGTCTGGCAGACTTCCCAAAGACCACACAACAGAAGGACAGGGAACGTCTGCTCAAATTAAGAGCATTCACCTTGCCTACAGGTCCCCTATCAGCCCAATTCCATACAGGTTCAGACATCTGCCAAGCTCCTTTAGGATAATACACAGGAAGATAACTGTGACTGGACCATATATACAAATAATTTTACATTACAATCTAGGAATGTGTGTGTGTGCATGCATATACATTTCTGATAAAGATCTAAGAGATTCTCTTTTATTTTATTTCATTTCATTGAACTTCATTTCATTTCATCTCATTCTAATTTTTTTTTAGTAGGCTTCACACCCAGCGTGGAGCCCAACACAGGGCTTGAACTCATGACCCTGAGATCAAGACCTGAGCTGAGATCAAGAATTGGACACCTAACCAGCTGAGCGACCCTGACACCCTGAGATTCATATTTTTAAATATCTTTTATGTATATTAAAATATATTTTGTTTCAATTGTGAAAATTTTGTCATGTCAAAATAAGTCACTGAAAATTCTCTTTGGGCCTGGGGGCAGGACTACCAGATTGGAAAAGTAAAAGTCTCCTCAAATGCTCTCTCCAAAAACGAATGATAAAACTGTACAAAACTGTTTTTTAAAAAAATAATATTAATCATTTCAGGATTCTGGAAATTGACCAAAGGCATACATCAAATAAATGTTTACTGGGGCACCTGGGTGGCTTAGTCGGTTAAGCGTCCGACTTTAGCTTAGGTCATGATCTCGCGGTTGGTGGGTTTGAGCCCCGCATCGGGCTCTGTGCTGACTGCCAGCTCAGAGCCTGGAGCCTGTTTCAGAATATGAATCACACTCTCTCTGACCCTCCCCTGCTAACTCTCTCTCTCTCTCTCTCTCTCTCCTAGAAATAAAACATTTAAAAAAATAAAAAAATAAAAAATATATTTAAAAAAATAAATGTTTACTGAAGAAAGATTACTAAATCTCAAATAGGAGCACTGATAGTTTGTGGCATTTCAATTTGGGGTTGCTCTCATAACATCCTTCTCCTCATCCTGGCTTCAACTGTGTCCACTTTTGCGGGTGGGGGGAAGGGGGGCTGAACTGATTTAAAATGAAGCAAGGAAAAACCCTATATTCCCTAAGCAATGTCAATCTCAGTGGCAAAACAATGATAATCTCAGTGGCAAAACAAAACAAAATAAAATAAAAGAGGCCAGCAACTCAGATAGCTGAGATTGTATTCTGGAGAAAGGAAGAGACAGGCAGACTAGTGAGAAATTAATCAGAGACATCAGGAAAATGAGATAGGCCATAGCGAGCCATGATAACTTCCCAAATATCCCTGGTAGTCTGAAGGCTGAACAAATGTTCATGAAGGATGAATACATATTCAGGTGAAAGTGGAGAAGGCCTTACCTATTCACATATCCCAGGCTGCCCGTGAGGCCTTGTGCAGAAGAAATGCAAGAATATCCAGGAGAAAGTAAAAGCCAGGATAAACATAAACTAAACTTGTCTGAACTGTCAGTGCATCCTCCAATCCACACACGGGTCCATTCATGAGAGTGGAAGTTTTACTAGCTCAAGGAATTTGAGCACAGCCTTTGATCAATCATTACCTAACCATTAAGCTATCTTATACCAGGGGCAACCCTTAGGAAGCCAGACTTACAAGCAGAAAAACAATAACAATAACAACAACATTTTTTGAGCAGAAAAATCAATGGCTACATACTGTGATAGAGACAAACTCTAAAGCAGGTTTCAGCAAAGGCACTGTTGCCATTTTGGACCAGGTAACCAGCTGCTGCAGTGGGGATGGAGTTTCCTCCATGTCATAGGATGTTTGGCAGCAACTTTGTCCTCTACCATTAAATGACAGTAGCACCCCGCCCCCACGTCATAATCAAAAATACCTCCAGACAATGTAAATGTTGCCTGGGAAGCAAAATCACTCCCAGTTGAGAACCACTGCTCTAATTAATTAATCCAGACAAATCACTAAACAAATATAAGACAGATATAACATCAGTCCCTGGAGTAACCAGGGACAGGATAAAGAGTTGCTACAGTGTTACTTAAAATGTCTAGTTCTCAACAACAACAACAAAATTATGAGACATGCAAAATGAAGACAGTATGACCAATTTAGAATGAAAACATATACCAATCAATAGGGATGGCCTCTGAGGGGTCCCAGATGTTGGACTTACAAAGATTTCAAAGCAGCTATTATAACTAAAGGGAATAACGTTTAAGAGTTAAAAGAAAGTAAGATGGTAATGATTCATAAAATAGGGAAGATCAGTAAAAGGACAGAAATTATTTTAAAGAGAAACAAATGAAAATTTGGGGATTTTAATAGAATGAAAACCTATTGGACAGGATCAAAACCAGATCTGAATGGGCAAAAATAATAAAAATAATAAATGTGATGATACATCACTAGAAATTATCCACCCTGAGGGGGTGGGGAAAAAAATAAAGTAAATGAAGAGAGGTATTTAAGATACCATCAAGCAAACAAGCATACATAAGAAATACTAACAGGAGCTCTTTAGACTGAAAGGAAATGACACTAGATATTAATTTTAGCCCAAATGAAGAAATAAATAGCACCAGAAAAGGCAATTATGTAGGTAAATATCAAGGACTATATTCTTCTTCTCTACAATTAATTTATTTTTTAAAGTTTTTTCAATGTTTATTTTTGAGAGAGAGAGGGGGAGACAGAGCACAAGCAGGGAAGGGGCAGAGAGAGAGGGAGACACAGAATCCAAAGCAGGCTCCAGGCTCTGAGCTGTCAGCACAGAGCCCAATGCGGGGCTCCAACCCACAAACCGCAAGATCATGACCTCGGCCAAAATTGGATGCTTAACTGACTGAGCGACCCAGGTGTCCCTATAGTTAACTTATTTAAAAGGCAACTGCATAGAACAATAACTATGAAAGGAGTTGTGGAGCTTAAAATACACAGAGTATATAAATTTGTTTGACAGTGACAGCACAAGGAGAAGGGATGAAACTGAAGTTCTATTAAAGCAAAGTTTCTGTATTTGATTGGATTTTAGTTAGTATTAATGCCAAGTATATCGTTATAAACTGAGATGTGTATTGTAATCCCTAGATTACACTAGAACAACCACTTAGGAAATAGCTCAAAAAAATAATTTTAAAAAACAACAAAGCAAAAATAAAGAAGAGTATCCAATTAAAAATGGCAAAGGATCTGAATATACATTTCTACGAGGAATACAAACAAGTTGCTACCAAGCACATAAAAGATATTCAATATCATTAGCCATCAGGGTAGGCAGATCAAAACCAAATGAGCTCTCCCTTCACACTTATTAGAATATCTATACTGAAAAAGACAGACAATAACAAGTGCTGATGAGAATGTGAAGATATTAGAATCCTTGTATACTGCTGGTGGGACACAGAAAGGTGCAGCTGCTTTGGAAAACAATTTGACAGTTCCTTACAATGGTTAAACATATACTCACCGTATGATCCAGCAATTGTACTCCTAGACATACACCCGAGAGAAATGAAAACATACGTTCACATAAAAATTAGTACACAGATGTTTATGGCAGCTTTATTCCTAAGAGTCAATAAGTGGAAATAGCCCAAATGTCCATCAATCGGTAAAGAGACAAATAAAATACACTGGCATAAATACAATAGGTATATCCAATTGAGTACATATAATGGAGTATTATTCTGCAGTATAAAAGAATGAAGTATTGCTACCTGTCACAACATGGATGAGCCATGAAAACATTATGCTAAGTTTTAAAATAGTCAATCACAAAATACTGCATATTGTAGGATTCCCTGTATATGAAATACGCAGAACAAGCAAATCAGTAGAGGCAGAAAGCAGATCAGTTGTTTCCTAAGGCAGAAAAGATTGGAGGGAAATAGGGATTGACAGCTATTGGGTCCAGGATTGTTTCCAAGATGATGAAAATGTTCTAAAATTGATTGTGGTAACAGTTGTATAACTCTGCTTATATAGTAAAAATCATTAAATTGTATATTTTAAAGTATATATTATACTAAAACTAAAGGTTTTAAATTTTAAAAAAAGAACTAAAATGGTACATTAGAAAATATCTATTTAACATAAAAGAAGACAGTAAAGGAAAAAGAAATAAGAGAGACAAATGACATACAGAAAACAAACAGCAAATGGCCAATATAATCCAACCTTATCAATAGTTACATTAAATACAAATGTATTAAACACGCCAATCACAAGGTAGAGATTATCAGACTAGATAAAAAGACAAGATCCAATTATATGCTGTCTACAAGAGATACACTCTAGATTCAGACTCAAATAGGTTGAAAGTAAAAGGATAAAAAAAGATAGACCATGCAAACAATAACATTAAAAAGTTGGAATGGTGATTATATCAATATCAGAGAAAACAGGCTTTAGTATGTTTTTGGTTTCAATTATTCTGGAAAGCTCTCCAGGTGATACTACTGTCCTAAGGATTAAGGCCAAGGGAGAGAGGAGTTAGATTAAGGGACAGAGGTGGGCAAAACTAATAATGGCCAAAGGTAACACACAAAACCCCTGGGAATCCCTAAAGTAAAGGAAGGGATTAGGAGCATTTAGAATTTTAGTTCCTTTGGGGGAGGGGGAGGGGAGTGGAAATAAAAACTGCTTTTAATACCAGTGAAACATGATTCACACTGATAAACATTCTCTCTTTGACCATACTCTAATCAGGCAGTTTTTCAACCAGGTCTCCACTTTTGGCCTTCTGTGTTCATCTCTGCATTGTTCAATTTTAGCAAAATCCTGGTAAGTCAGTTTAACCAGAATCTTCACCCTCAATATGTGATCATCCTCAGTATTTGATCAAATTCCTCATCTTCCTCCATATCTGCCAGATGATGCTTAAGCACTCTGGCCTGCCTTCAGGCAAAAATTCCACTAGAATGGTTTAGCCAGGATCTCCCATTTCCTCTCATGTTTTCATAGTAATTTCTTATCCATTGACCCCTACCCTACTTCTTGGCTATAAATTCCCAGTTTTCCTTGTCTATGGAGTTGAGACCAACCTCTCTTCCCTACTACAAAACTCCACTGGAGTAGCCCCTCTTGAATAAGGTCTGCCTTACCATCTTTAAGATGTGTTATGAATAATTTTTTCCTTAACAACACTCACGTAGGTTTTCTTCGTAAGCTAGTGTGACGTAGAGAAATGCAGGCAGACACACACAAACCACCTGGCTCATTTACCTCAGTTTTAGCATTCATTCATAATAAAAGTTATCTTACCGCCTGTAATCTTTGAGCATGGTATTCTGCTGCCGAAAAATATTTTCCTGGTGTTACCAGTTTGTCAGTCATATTTGATACATACACCCCAATTTTAGTCATCTGTGTGGATGTTGTATTTGTAGTTTGCTGGAGCTTTTTTCTCTGAAAGACTGTCTAAAACAAAAACATAAAAATTCAAATATCCACTATATACACATATAAGTGAGCGAAGAGCACATTTTTCTATCTGGTTAGTAAATTTTCTGTTATTATTTTAATTGCCATATAATTCCTTGGAAGATTTTAATTTTTTAAGTTTTTATTTAAATTTTAATTAACAAACAATGTACTATTAGTTCCAGGTGTACAATATAGTGATTCAACACTTCCATTCAACACCCAGTGTTCATCACAAGTATACTCTTAATCCCCATCACCTATTCAACCCATCCCCCCACACACTTCCCTCTGATCACCATCAGTTTGTTATTTATAGTTAAGATAGATAGATTTTTTTGGTTTGCCTTCTCTCTTTTCTCCCCCTTTGCTTGTTTGTTTCTTAAATCCCACATATGAGTGAAATCATATAGTAATTATCTTTTCTCTGACACACTTATTTCACTTAGCAAAGTACCCTCCTCTTCCACCCACATCGTGGCAAATGGGAAAGATTTTAACTTTAGAGAGGTATACAGAACATTTGTTGATTCTGCAGTTCCAAAAATCTACATAGAAAAATAAAAATATTACCTGTGCATCCCTACAAAATACAGAGTCCTTTTTGGGAATCTTTTTAGGTAGAGTTTGTGTTCCAGCATTGTGATATTCTATTCCTGTCATTCTATGTCTGAATCCACCAAGAAATGGTTTGTGAAAGTCAGATTTTATAATCTCAACAGCTACGTCCTGGTACTGAGCAATGCCTGAGGAGGGAAAAAGCAAGACTGAATGAAAGTTCACCTACAAAGGGACTCTAAAATACTTTATCTAAAAGACATCATATAACTGACCAGTTTGTATCCTGACAGTTATGATGTGAGAGGCATCAGTTAATCCATCTATTCTTTTGATTGGAAATAGATCTGGATCTGTAGAAAAGATTTCCACTTGTACAATATCCTGTGGCTTAACTCCATGTTGTAGTAGGGTCTCATTATTTTTAAGGATCATTCCTAAAAATGACATGAAATTACAAGAAGTGTATGACAAAGAAGTAACTATATGTACTCATTTTAAGGGGATGGAAAACATCAAAGATGATTCTATGAACACATATAGTTTAATTACTGAATAGAATATTGATGATGTCCACCCCTTACTGTAATGTTAGTACAGAAAACTCCACAATGGGAAGAGTTAAGAAGCAATAATTCAGCATTATAAGTAAAGCTATAACTCCCATAGGATTTTGCATCAGAAATACAAATATATAATAACCATGCAACATGCAACTCTGCAGATACTTAAAAATAAAAACTTATTCTATGAGTAAAATAACATTCTAAACGTTGATTCTCTAAAAAGTCAGTGTGTGTAAGACAGGATATATCTAATTTAGGGAAGTTTTGATTATTTTAATACCCACTCCTCTCTCCAATGCAGGAAAGCATATACTCAGAGTTCCAAAGAACTCTTCCCTGTTTCTATAATCAAGAACTTATATAAATAAACTCATGAAAAAGTAGAGTTAAGTCTCAGCTTTGTGTTGGAAAGAGTGTATATCACTTTATTTTTATGTTATTTTATATCTTTTTTACTTCTATCCCCCTTTCTTGGTTTATTCTATAAATTGATTCCAATTTTATTTCTCTTTTTTAAGGAATACAAAAATATGTGTAATGATGTTGGCTGCTGTTTTGATAGAATCTGTGTAACTCTTCCAATGCATCCTAAAGTACAATTAGGAATTTGAACAGAGCAAAGGTTTTGTTACATTAATTATTAGAGATATATCAGATACCACTAGTCTATTTTAGCTATGTTTAAGAAAGTATAATGATCTTTGAGTTTCAATTTCACACCCCAAATTCTTAACTTAGAAAATTAACATGAATGTTATATAGGCTCTGTAAGAGGTTGAATAATGGCCCCAGAATATATCTATGTCCTAATCCCCAGAACCTATGAATGTTACCTTATATGACAAAGATAACTGCAAATCTTATTAAGTTAAAATTTTTGTAAAGGGGAGATTATCCTGGATTATGTAAGTATGTCCTAAATGTAATCACAAATGCCTTTATAGAGGGAGGAAGGGAGATTTGACTATACAGAAGATGGTAAGACAGAAGCAGAGAGAGATATGAAGATGTTCTGCTTGCTTTAAAGATGGAGGAAGGGGACATGAGCAAGGTATACAACTGCAAGAGCAGGAAAAGACAAGGGAGCAGAATGTCCCCAGAGCCTCCAGAGGGAGAAGAGCCCCGCCTGTATCATGGCTTCGTCTGAGTGAAACTGATCTAGGATTTCTGGCCTCCAGAGCGATAAGAGAAATCATGTGTTGCTTTAAGTTACTAAGCTTGTGGTTGTTGTAACAGCTATAGTTTCCTATAGATTCCCAGAGCCCTCTTCATTCCTCTAGTTTATATAGTAGGCTTAGTCCCACCAAATTTGAACTCCAACTCTCTTACTAGAAGAAAGCACCTGTCTTAGAGGGTGGCTGACATAGACTCAAGCTCTTTTATTATCATGGCTGACATAGGCCTGTTACCCAGTGGTGATGCCTCGCACTTACACATAAACAAGAAAGGTCATGAGTGCAAAGAACAAAGAGAGTCTCAGGTACCACTAGCCAGCCACTCCAGTCTCACAGTGCTTTCTCTTCTCCAGTTTTGAACTTCACCTTATAGACAGTGCCAAGCAATTTCCAGTTGCCTTTTTGCAGTCATACCTACATTTAAGTTCAGACTCTGCCAACCATTAGCTGCATGAATTTGTACAAGTTTCCCAAGCTTTAGTTTCCTTCTTGCAAAAAAAAAAAGTTAATAGTAGTACCTACGTCAAAGGGTTGCTGTGTGGGTTGAATGTGATAACGTAGGCAAAACATTTCACAGGACTAGCACACAGTACGTACTCAATAAAGTAACTATCATGATTGTTATAACTAATAAGTTTAAGTTTCAGTGTTGTTTCCCTAACCAAGCTTTAATAATAAGTTGTTTGAAGACATGAACATCTTAGCATTACAGCACATTCATTGTAATAGTTGTCTAAAAATAATTTTGAAGTTGAACTGATTATTTTCTGATTTGACAAGGAGGAACTTAATAGGTATGGCTTACTCCTTTTTAGTGTTTAGGAATTTTTCCCCACAAGAAAATGTTATTTCCCTGGAAATTTTTTTGTGCCATCTTTCTAAGTTGGTGCCAAAGCTTTTCAAATGAAAATATTAGGATCTGTGCAGACATATTCTATAGACACATTTGTTTAGCTATTACGGTCTTGCTAATTCTACCACAGTTACAAAGATTAAATCCTCTCGTGACACAAAGCTACTATAAAGTGGGCTGTCTAATACCGCCCACAAAATGAAAATACTTGAACAGCACGGTAATGCGAATTCACCTTACTGTATACAGACTGGCAGATAAATCGTTTTCAGTCCTCTTCGTACTTTGTATGTGTTCATCCGTATCTACTTTTTTCAACCTCATGGCCTCCTACTCACCACACAGAATTACTTCCAGCCTCTCTCAATTTTTACCACTTCCCTGAGGTCCCAGGGTCTCTCACCTCTTTGGGACTTGGCCACGTATTGTCACTTTTATTAAGTGAAGCTTTCTAGAATCTCCCAGTCTCCTTCTTCTCTGTCCTCACAGCTTTTGGAGCGTATCTCCATTGAAACATTTGCACCTTATGTGGGAACTATGGCATATATCATCTTTCTGACTAGTCTGTAAACAATCTGAGAACAAAGTTTTGTTTCATGTTTCTCTACATCTTCAGTTCTTAGCATTCTTAGTATTTTTTTTTTAAGCCCAAGAGGCTTTTGATTCTTTTCTTTTCTTTTTTTTTTTTTTTTTACAAATAGTTTGTCAAATTAGTTTCTACATAACACTCAGTGCTCATCCCCAAAGTGCCCTCCTCCATGCCCATCCCCCCCTCCCCCCCACATCCATCAGTCCTCAGTTTTTGTCAGCATTCAAGAGTCTCTCATGGTTTGCCTCTCTCCCTTTCCCCCACCATTTCCGCCCTTCTTCTCCCCCTTGTTCCTCCGTCAAGTTCCTCCTAATCCACCTATACGTGCAAACATATGATATTTGTCCTTCTCTGCCTGACTTATTTCGCTCAGCATAACACCCTCAAGGTCCATCCATGTTGCTACACATGGCCAGATTTCATTGTTTCTCATTGCCATGTAGTATTCCATGGTATAGATAAACCACATCTTCTTGATCCATTCATCTGTTGATGGACACTTAGGCTCTTTCCATGTTTTAGCTATTGTGGAGAGTGCTGCTATGAACATTGGGGTACATGTGCTCCTATGCCTCAGCATTTCTGTATCCCTTGGGGAAATTCCTAGCAGTGCTATTGCTGGGTCATAAGGGAGTTCTATTGTTAGTTTCCTGAGGAACCTCCACACTGTTTTCCAGAGGGGCTGTACCAGTTTACATTCCCACCAACAGTGTAGGAGGGTGCCCGTTTCTCCACATCCTCACCAGCATCTAGAGTTCTCTGATTTGCTCATTTTAGCCACTCTGACTGGCGTGAGGTGGTATCTCAGTGTGGTTTTGATTTGTATTTCCCTGATGAGGAGGGATGCTGAGCATCGTTTCATGTGTCTGTTGGCCATCTGGATGTCCTCTTTGGAGAAGTGTCTGTTCATGTCTTCTGCCCATTTCTTCACTGGGTTGTTTGTTTTTCGGGCGTGTAGTTTGGTGAGTTCCTTATAGATTCTGGATATTAACCCTTTATCTGATATGTCATTTGCAACTATCTTTTCCCATTCTGTTGGTTGCCTATTAATTTTCTGGGTGGTTTCCTTGGCTGTGCAGAAGCTTTTAATCTTTATGAGGTCCCAACAGTTTATTTTTGCTCTTGATTCCCTTGCTTTTGGGGATGTGTCAAGTAAGAAGTTGCTGCGGTGGAGGTCAAGGAGGTTGTTTCCTCCTTTCTCCTCTAGGGTGTTGATAGTTTCCTGTCTCACGTTCAGGTCCTTGATCCATTTTGAGTTGATTTTTGTGCATGGTGTGAGAAAATGATCTAGTTTCATTCTTCTGCATGTTGCTGTCCAGTTCTCCCAACACCATCTGTTAAAAAGGCTGTCTTTTTTCCATTGGATATTCTTTCCTGCTTTGTCAAAGATCAGTTGGTTGTATACTTTTGGGTCCACTTCTGAGTTCTCAATTCTGTTCCATTGGTCTATGTGTCCGTTTTTGTGCCAATACCATACTGTCTTGAGGATGACAGCTTTGTAGTAGAGGCTGAAGTCTGGGATGGTGATACCTCCCGTTTTGGTTTTATTTTTCAGTATTACTTTGGCTATTCGGGGTCTTTTGTGGTTCCATACAAATTTTTGGATAGTTTGTTCTAGTTTTGAGAAGTATGCTGGTGCAATTTTGATCGGAATTGCATTGAATGTGTAGAGTGCTTTAGGTAGTAATGACATCTTAACTATATTTATTCTTCCTATCCATGAGCATGGAATGTTTTTCCATTTCTTTGTGTCTTCTTCAATTTCCTTCATAAGTTTTCTATAGTTTTCATCATACAGATCTCTTGTATCCTTGGTTAGGTTTATTCCGAGGTATTTTATGGTTTTTTGTGCAATTGTGAATGGGATCAGTTTCTTGATTTCTCTTTCTGTTGCTTCATTATTGGTGTATAAAAATGCAACCGATTTCTGTACGTTGATTTTGTACCCTGCAACTTGGCTGAATTCTTGGATCAGTTCTAGTAGGCTTCTGGTGGAGTCTGTCAGGTTTTCTATGTAGAGTATCATGTCATCTGCGAAGAGTGAAAGTTTGACTTCCTCTTGTAGCATTCTTAGTATTTAGAGCAAACGTGCACTCAACAAAAATGAGTTGAATGAAGCCATAATCACAATATAATGTTCAAATAATAAATGTCAAGATATTTCATTCAACAAATTAAAGATCTTGACGACCTACATGTTAACACTAAAGCCGTCTTGCTAAGTTGTATTAGGCTCCAAGCTTACCTGAATATCTTATCCGCAGTATGTTGGATGGGATGCTTAATAGGTATGAAAAATGATCCTTGAGATATTTTACAATGGAGTCTATTCTAAAATGCATTATAACTTCCTGGCCCACAGGAAAAAGTACGACTTTTACTGTAGATAAAAAGAGAAAAGAAAGAATCAGCCAAAAGCGAGGGTCAGCAACCCACAGCCCATAAGCAGGTAGAAAATTGTAGGACAAGTTTTATTCGCACAGAATGCAGGTTGCCTCTGCCAGGCCCCCCCATGAAACCCCCATGATAAGAGTTGCTTTTCAAATTCTGTGAGAGGTGACATTCAGTTATGTTTTTAAAAATTAATTCACAATCTCAGGAATTATCATCAGTAGTCAATACCTGCTCCTCCAACTCTAGCTTAAAGTTCAGATCTTTTTTCTATTCTCTGCTATGAGGATCAAGCACTTTCAGGACTACCTCTTTGTCTTTGCCCAGCATTCCACAAGAAATAAGAAATAAAGCCACACCGCTTTTAAAGATTTCCAATATCTCGCGTTGTACTGGTATTAATCGGTACTAATTTGGTACTGGTATCTGGTATTCTATTACTCAGGTGTAAACATAGGGGCATCTCAGAAACTCAGGCATTTTTGGGTATTGAGTATTGGAAGGGGAGACCCTGATGCCTAGCTCAGGGGTGTCCCTGAACTTATGAATGTGCATACTTTGATTACACACTGATAGCATGCATTAGTAAATCAGTGTATATTCATGACGTCAAGAAAATTCAATAAAGAAATCTTCAAAGTAAAAGGTATCTAATACCAAGTCCATTATTCTTCCCATAATTTTTTAAATGCTTATTTGTTTATTTTGAGAGAGAGAGAGCAAGTGAGCAGAAGAGGTACAGACCGAGGGAGAATCTCAAGCAGACTCCACACTGTCGGTGCAGAGACCGATATGGGGCTTGAACTCACAAACCGTGAGATCATGACCTGAGCTGAAAGCAAGAGTCGGATGCCTAATGGACTGAGCCACCCAGGTGCCCCATTCTTCTCTCCATAATTGATTTATTGCCAAAATGCAAAGCAGAAAATCACTGTTCATTACAAATATCTAGAATAACTGCACACAAATCTACTTTTCACAAAAATGGACACTATATGACTCACTACACATTCTATAAAATAGGAAATCAAGACACATGTTGATAAAAACTTATTATAAAATGATTATCTGTTCACAAATTATAGGAGAAACACATAGCATTTAAAAGCTGATTATAATGGGGTAAACTTTCTTCTTTTACATCTACAGACTTTAAATCATAACGGAGAAGACGTAATAAGTGAGATGGAGGATAGACTGCACACTGTAGACCAATAAGTTTTATATATTTCCAGATGCCTGACACATGGCAGTTTTCATAAAGCTAAATGAGACATTTATGAATAATCTTAGAATGAAATTTAACTAGGCATTGTTGATGCTAAAGTTGAGTTGTTTTTCACAGCTATCAACAAAGAAAACACTTTCACAGACATTAAATTATCAGAAGGCTATTTTCATTGTTTTATGGACTCAAAATTTTATGGTTAATATATTTTAAAACTTTCCTAGCAGTGACTTCTTAAGAGAAGGAGAGTTATGTGAAGGAATTTGTGAGCCTCAGGAAGCACTGGGACCAAGACAACTTTATCTTAATCACCATGTGTTTGTTAAAAGCTACAGTATCAGGAAATCACAGAAATATCAAAAAATAGAGCTCAGAGGTCCCTGGCTAGCTCAGCTGCTAGGGCACGCGACTCTTGATTTAAGGGTTATGAGTTCGAGACCTACGTTGGGCATAGAGATTACTTTAAAAAATAAATAAACAGGGGCGCCTGGGTGGCTTAGTCGGTTAAGCGTCCGACTTTCGCTTAGGTCATGATCTCGCAGTTCGTGGGTTCGAGCTCCGCGTCGGGCTCTGTGCTGACTGCCAGCTCGGAACCTGGAGCCTGTTTCAGAGTCTGTCACTCCCTCTCTCTCTGACCCTCCCCTGCTCACGCTGTCTCTCTCTCTCTCTCCTAGAAATAAATTAAAAAATAAAATAAAATGTGTTTTCTTTAAAATAAACAAACAAACAAACAAATGGAGCCCAAATTTACTGTGAATAATGAAACTAAAGAATAACAGCTTCAGTCACATAAAATTGGGCTTGAATACTTTCTTTTCCTTCCTCTTTCTCATCCTTTACTTGTATTGACACACCACACAAGGATAAACTGCCCCAGTGGATTCAAAACCAGTCAGACTAAGTTGCTGTCAACTGTTAAATGATAGCCCATGTTCTCCACCCTATGGATGAACAATTTCAAAACTAATGGACACGAGAGAGGAGGAGCAATCCGTGAATCACCCAACAAGGATGGTTCTACGTGCAGCCTCCTTCTTGCTGCTCCACTGTGACTTTGTTACTAACAATGTAGTAATAACTCCTATATGTCATCAACATTATGCCTTTAAAATTAACCTATAATGCAAGACAACAACAGTTTTTCTGAAGCCAAATATAAAGTTAACACTAAGCAGAAGTATAGAAATATGTGGAAGTAACAAGATGTAAGGAATGAGCACTAGAGATGGAACCAGGAAATCTAGCGTCAAGTTCCCTTCCAACTCTTTCCTGCCAGCTATGAATACTTAATTCCAAAGAGGCATGTCAAAGAGTTACAGTTCTACTCAAGAATTTGTCCACTGTTTTCCAAGGTACCTAAACATTTTAAAAATCTACTTTACTTGGGAAAAACAGATCAGTATCAACTTAAAATTTAATAGTGCTCATCTATTTCGGGAAAGTAGTATCCTGCAGTATAGAGAAGCTTCACACATAATTAGAGATCCAGTGGTAGTAGCCACAGAAGTCTGGTGGATAAGGGAAAGGGAGAGGGAAACAATGTAATATCAAATATAAAACAAATCTTAAGCAAATTTAGGGGTGCCTGGGTGGTTCAGTTGGTTAAGCATCTGACTTTGGCTCAGGTCATGATCTCACAGTTTGTGGGTTTGAGCCCCGTGTTGGGCTCTGTACTGACAGCTAGCTCAGAGCCTGGAGCCTGTTCTGGATTTTGTGTCTCCTTCTCTCTCTGACCCTCCCCTGTTCATGCTTTCTCTCTCTCTTTCAGAAATAAATAAAACATAAAAAAACTTTTTTTAAATCTTAAGAAAATTTTTAAAAGTAAACATTGTTCAAAATGAGGTAACGAAATATCCTATCTTCCTTAGGTAATACCTGTTGCTGAGGAATCTTTCATTGATGTTTTCAGAGATTCCTTTATAGCCTGTACTTTGTCCAGTAATGTAAGGGATCCAACATTTGAATCCCATTTGGCTGACAGCATTGCGTTATCATAGTCAGTTACATAGTGCTTTTCAGAATATCTTGGAGAATATAAAACGTGTCTGGGCAACATAACCTCTTCCACAGGTTGGTCTTCATCATTTGGTTCCAGGCTTACTAAACTCTGGCTACGTTCCTCCTCAGCATGCGTGTCATGGCCCTGACCAGACGGTTCTACATGAGATTCATTATCTTCAGTTTGGTCTGTCTCGGGAAGTCCTGCTGAGGGAACTGGAATGGTGATAGTCCCGAAAGCACCATCATTTTCTGGTGCATTAACAATATTCTGAGCACCAAATTCTTCTTCCTGATCAGACATTTTCCTGAACCAAGAAACATAAATGCATTTATTACACATAGAAATTTCTATACCAAATATCAAATTCATTGCTGGTATACATAGTACAATGTTGCTCATTATTTTTTTTAAATACTGATTATTTTAGTAACGGCATCAGGTAAAAACACTGGTGAATTTTTAATAAAAACACCACAGAAAGTAAAAATTATGCCAAAAGAGGATGTCAAAGCACAATAAATTTGAGAAAAATCTACTGTCAAGAATATATTTAAAAATATTTTAACTGATGGGTGGGGGGTGATGGGCATCGAGGAGGGCACTTATGGGGATGAGCACTGGGTGTTGTATGGAAACCAACTTGACAATCAACTATTTAAAAAATATATTTTAAAATATCTTGTCACCTCTTCCTTATGCAATGAACAATGCCTTGTGAAAGCATAATTTGAATAACCTTTTGTCTAAACACAGCCTAAGACAGGATTTATGCTTCTGAGATTACAATTGATCAGAAGCTCCATGGAATCTGCCGGCCCCACAGCAACCGGACCCTAGACCGTACACCCTCTCTGTAGCAGCTCTGCTCTGACCAATTGTAGCAGAGGTCTCCAACCGCCTCTGTTCCCCAGGACAAACATATCAACAAACAACTGTGGGTGGACCTCGGAGCTGACTAGGGCTTGAGCTACAGCAACCAAGAGCTTTGGCCTGGGAGACTGTATCACAGCACCCAGGAGCTGGGGCCAGGGTGGGCCAGGGCAGCCCACGGGCGCAGGAGCTGACCCGCAGCAGTGGACAGCCAGTAGCGCAGGGAGCCTGCCTTTAAAAGCTGGCAGCCAGGAAGGGACGATGGAAGGGAGGATGGGAGAAGTGGCCCAGCAGGGGGCAGACTAAAACTTGGACCAGTAGTGAGGTGGGCAAGCTGTGTTTTGGGCTAACAATAACATTCTCTGGCTACTAGATGCCAAATTTCCAAAAATATGGAATATCTAGAATAAAAAATACACTTATTGAATTCAATGAATGTAGCATTAAAGAGTTGAAGAGAGAATTATTAATGAACTAGAAGACAAAAAGAGTTTATACAGAATGTTGCAAAGAGATAAGGAGTTTTAAAGTATGAGAGATTAAAGGCCATGCAAAAGAGAAAAAGAAAGTCTAGCATATTTTACTGCTAAGCAGATCTTACTGTGAGCTGAGCTGAGAATGGCTTTGTACTTTAAAACAAAAAACAACAAAAAGTATGCAACAGAATATGCACGAGGCCTGAGAAGCCCTTTTCAGAAAAAGTCTGCCAGCCCCTGATCTAGTATATGTCAAATTGGAATCCCAGAGAAAACAAAAAGATGGAAGAGAGAAAAAATTTTAAAGGTAATGGCTGAGAATTTTACAAACCTGATGAAAAATATGGATCCAAAGACCCAAGAAGCATAACATAAATATACACTTAACAAAGTAAGTCAACATAATTCAAAGCCATGTATATTGTAATTACATTACAGATTAACAAAGACAGGTCTGGAAAGCATACAGTGATTATCTACTGTTTTGAATTACATTAATTAGCTAACATTAATACAAAGGAAAAAAGTAAAATTACTGTAGATTTCTCATCAGAATTATAGAAGCCAAGGCAACAATGAACTAATTAAAAGAAGGGAACTATCAACCTAGAGTTATGCACCTAACAAAATGATCTTTTGAAACATTTACAAACAAGTTACCACCAAGATATCTACTCTACAGGAACTTGTAAAGGATACACCTGATGGAGGAAAATGGTTTCAAAGTCCAAAGTGCAAAAGGAAAGGTGAACATAATTGAGAAGGGAAAGATGAGTATGAATTGTTCTCAAATCCTTATTCTGTTTACAGAATTGAGGGATATGATATCCTTAACCCTAGGCTTTGTTAAATTAAATATGCATAGGTGAATTTCAAGTACAGCCAATAAAAGAACTGAAATAAAGTTTTAAAATTCCAAAACAATAAAGAGAAAAAAGGAAATGAGAAAAAAACTGAACAAAAGCTCAATTTTCGAAATGTTCAAGAAACCTCTTCAGGCTCTCACCCACAAAAAAAATCTTCCCTTGGTTATTTTCTCCCATAACAGGGCATAATGGCCTGATTAGAAAGAGTCTCATAATGAAGCTCTGACCCCTAGCAAACATACTCCTCCCATCCATTTGGAGGGGCTGGGGTAATGCTTTTGTCTCTATTGGTGGGTCATCCTTCCCCTGTGAAACGGCCAAGATGTCATCTTCTAAAACAGCAACAGCAACAAAATCAAGAATGTCTGCTCTTCTAAAAACACAACCAGAAGAATAAAAAGACAAGCCATAGCCTGGGGGATAATTTTTTACAAAGCTCCTCTCTGATCAAGGACTTGTAACCAGAATATACAGAAAATTCTCAAAAATCAACAAGAAAAGAATAATAATTTGAAAATGAATAAAATATTTAAACAGGTAAGTCAACAAAGAATTTCATTCAGAAGGCAAACAAGCAGGCCCAGGATTGGAGCAGCACAAGTGTGATGCAGCACCTGCACTGTGCTATACTTGCAGGTGCACCTGAAAATAGATGCCTCCTGAATTTGGGACCCAACTGCCTCATTCTGGTGCTAGCCCTGAGAACAAGCATGCCATTCATTATTAAAGAAATGGAATAAGGAACTCACCAAACTCTACACCCGAAAAACAAATAATCCAGTGAAGAAATGGGCAGAAGACATGAACAGACACTTCTCCAAAGAGGACATCCAGATGGCCCACAAACACATGAAATGATGCTCAACGTCCCTCCTCATCAGGGAAATACAAATCAAAACCTAAATGAGATACTGCCTTGTGCCAATCAGAGTGGCTAAAATGAATAAATCAGGAGACTAGAGATGCTGGCGAGGATGGGGAGAATCGGGCACCCTCCTACACTGTTGGTGGGAATGTAAACTGGTACAGCCCCTCTGGAAAACAGTGTGGAGGTTCCTCAAAAAATTAACAATAGAACTCTCCTATGATCCAGCAGTAGCACTGCTAGGAATCTACCCAAGGGATACAGGAGTGTTGATGCATAGGGGCACATGTACCCCAAGTTCATAGCAGCACTCTCAACAATAGCCAAATCATGTAAAGAGCCTAAATGTCCATCCACTGACGAATGGATCCAGAAGATGTGGCTTATCTATGAAATGGAATACTACATGGCAATGAGAAAGAGTGAAATCTGGCCATGTGTAGCAACGTGGATGGAACTTGAGGGTGTTATGCTGAGCAAAATAAGTCAGGCAGAGAAAGACAGATACCATATGTTTTCACTTATAAGTGGAACAGGAGAAACTTAACAGAAGACCATGGGGGAGGAGAAGGGGAAAAAGTAGTTGGGGAGAGGGAGGGAGGCAAACCATGAGAGACTCTTGAATACTGAGAACAAACTGAGGGCTGATGGCGGGGGGAGAGGGGAAGGGGGGTGATGGGCATGGGGGAGGGCACTTGTTAGGATGAGCACTGGGTGTTATATGAAAACCAACTTGATAATAAACTATGAAAGAAAACAAAAGAAATGGAACTTCAAACAAACAAATAAAATTAGATCAACAATAGAAAGTGCTAGTGAGTATGAAGACAAGTGGAACTCTTACACCTTGATGGTGGAAATGAAAATTAGTATGGCATTTAAAATAATTGTCAGTTTTCTTATAACATTAAACATATGCTTATCATATGACCCAGCATCTGTGTCCTTTACCCAAAGGGAATGAAAAACTACACTCTTACAAAATATGTACACAAAAGTTCAGAAAGGCTTTATCCTTTTTACAAATTTTTTAAATGTTTATTTATTTTTGAGAGAAAGACAGAGTGTGAGCAAGGGAGATGGAGAAAGAGAGAGAGAGAGAGAGAGAGAGAGAATCCAAAGCAGGATCCAGGCTCTGACCTCCGAGCTGTCAGCACAGTACCCGATGGCCTGAGACTCACAAACCATGAGATCATGACCTGAGCTGAAGTCAGATGCTTAATCGACTGAGCTACCCAGGCGCCCCCATAAATTCATTCTTAATCACCAAAAACTGGAAACAACACAAATGTCCCTTAGTTGAGGCATGGATGCACATACGAGACATTCACAAAATGGAATACTACTCATCAGTAAGAAAGGAATAAATTATTGATACACACAACATGGGTGAATCTCAAATGAATTATGCTAAGCCAATTCTAAAAGGTACATACTTTACGATTCAATTAAGTAGAAAAGCAAAACTGTTGGTTCACAACCTCTAGAGTTCCCTAGGGTTAAATCCGAAACTGGGCCCCATACATGGAACACAAGGAGAAACCAAAGAAAGAGGCAGCATTCCAGATGGTAGGTGGCAAGTTTAAGAGGAAAGGGAACTTACAAACAAGGCTTATCTTTGGTAGTTGCAAGAGAGTAGATATCTGGACCCACGAGCCAGAATCTTAAAGAGTTTATAGGGCCTTTACTAGGTTCAGTCAGGAATCCAGTCCAGATGGTCTCAATAACACATTACTTTCTCAAGGCTGGGTCCTTGAAGCAGCCCGTAGCAGGGGGACAGAGGGTGGGAGGTACAGTCTAAGGAGAGGGGAGGAGCCTGTGATCGCCCCACTCCAGTTCCCTGGTCAACTAGCAGTCACATCTCCTCCATGACCACCTCCATCAAAAACACATACCAGTACCTACAATGTTACAGGTACAATGACATACTTGTGTAGGCAGAGAGTAACTGTGGAAGATAAAGGGCGGAGAGAAGAACATGGGAGTAAAACAGATTTTCACTGTACACTCTTACTACTGTTTGAACTTTTTATCATCTTTATGTTTACCTATTCAAACGTAAATATTTTAATCTTTAAAAAATTGTTCAAAAGTAGTCCCTATTATGATTGCACACAAAAAATGCCCCCCTTTCACTTACAATTTGCATGATTTCACTGATATATCTAGAATGTTAGTGGAACTAGAAAGGCTGGGATCCAGTTTTGCCTTTTACCAAATAAACCTGTTGGATTTTTATGTTTTTAAAGAAGTACAGCAAAGACCATGGGTGGAGAGGAGAGTGCCAAGGAGGGAAGTGTGAAAGCCCTCTAGTTAGTAAAGACTGAAATGGTCCCCATGGATGCCTACACGTCTTCTAATGCCAGATCTGGGTTACACAGACGTCCTCCTGCTTCTTTACTACGACAGTGATAAGCGCTCCGGTGGGAGATGAGGTACACCTCTCACCTTGCTGCTGCTGCTGCTTCCCAACTCCAAACCTGAGACACAGAACCAGAAAAGGGGCTAAGAACGATGGGACGCTCTGCACTGCCTCTGAAGCTTAGGTGTAACATTCTCCAGCGGCCAAGCAGTCCCCAGAGCCCAGGAAGGGTCGGCAGCGCCCCGTACAAAGTTCTGGGAGTTCAGCGCCTGTCACAGGTTCAAGGTCGGTCTGAGGGTGGCACCAAGGGAGGGCAGCCAGAACCTGTCCTCCTACCTGACTCAGAAACGCGGCCACTCGGGTCACACAGGTTGGGCAAAAATCGCTCCGAGGAAGCAGCGTCCGCAGCCGCCGCATTCTCTGTTGTCAGCCATATCCTGGCAACGGCCCTGGCGCCACGCCCTCCCGCCCCGCCCCGCTCACGCGAGAAGAGGATGTGCCCCCGGGGGAAAGAAAGGCGGGGGAGGAGAGGGGCGGAGCCAGGGGCGAGGGGCGGGAAGAGTGGGGCAGAGGGCGTGGCGGGACCTGAACCGGACCTGAGCGTGACCTGGGCGGGGTGCGGGGCGAGGAGGAGAAAGATGGGGGCAGTGTTTTCCGTGCTGGGTACCTACATCCTAAAGTGAATCGGACGCTACTCTCCAGACTTCTTTAACTTGTGACACAGTTCTCCGAAACAAACGCTGAAAGCAGTTTGGCTTATAGATATTAAAAAGCGTACGTAATATATGTAATGTAATTATATGTAAATATAAAGTGAGAGTGAAGACCTTGGCAGAAGGCGGTTGTACACAGTAGGTGCCTACTTGCTTTTGTAAAAATTAGAACTTCGCTCTTTGCTTCCTGGCAGCCAAAGAGAAAAGGGAGACAGAAGCTATTCTCTTTTAAGTCAGGAGAAGCAAAGCTTTGGTTAATCACAGAATTATAAAGGTGTTTTTCCATCACTATAAACCCATAAATTAAGAAGGTTTTTAAAGAAGCACATATTGGGGGGAAGGATCAATTATATTCCTATTGCAAACGTTGTGACAAATATCACGTGCCATCATAACAATAGCTAATACTATTATTTGTTACTAAGCACTTCACGTATATTTCTAATTTAATCCTGACAAGGATTTTATTAAGTAGGACTTGTGATTAGCCTCGTTTTACTGAATGAGGAAACTGAGGCTCAGAGAAATTTAGTGGGAGCCAGGATTAAACCCAAGCAGTCTGATTCCAGAGCCTCGATTTTAAACCACTATTCTATGTTGTTTAACACACTTTGTTAAAAAGCACGTAAAATTGATTAAATTTCTTGCAGATAGTAAAAGTCCATTCTTCGTTCATCATGTTCAATGTCTTCAGTCCTTATTCCACTGAAATTGTATTCTCATCTCCCCAATATATTTTTTTATGTTTCTTATTTATTTTTGAGAGTCAGAGACAGCGCGTGCAGGGGAGGGTCACACACAGAGAGACGGAGATACAGAATGCGAAGACAGGCTGCAGGCTCTGAGCTAGCTGTCAGCACAGAGCCCAACGCGGGGCTCTAACCCACTAACATGAGACCATGACCTGAGCCGAAGTTGGATGCTTAACCTACTGAGCCACCCAGGTGCCCTCCCCAATAATTTCTTAATGTCCAACGTCAGTTTTTCTCAATGTCTTCATCCCATTTTATGACAATTTCTAACTAGGACTATATAAAATATGTATTATATTCTCAAATATAATCAGCTTTAATAATGGTTTTGAATAAAAGCAAATTTGTTTAAAGCATTTAATGAATCCACACATTCACAAAGAGCTGAGAAAAGGGGAGGAAGCATTCCTATAACCCCTGGGGTTAGTCTCTCATGGGTAAACCAGGTGTGACTGGAGACATGTTAAAAAGTACTTCCAAACAGTCTTCTACTTCCATCTCCAAAATCTTAAATTTTACTAGTAACGAGAATCCCATTGGTTGTAAACACTCACCATTCTGGGTCTCTTTAAAATTTATCATTTGCTGTCCTCCATATTATAGGGACACTATGAAAATACTAGGTGTAGGCATAGAGGCAGGAGGTGGAGGAAAGAAAACCTGGTGATAGAAAACTTTAAGTACTTCACAGTGTTAAATGTGACTTAATACCCACTATATGTTCCTATTTTATTTATAGTTTGCTGTGGAGATGATCTCACACAACTCAGTCTTACAATATATGAGCCTAACATAATTGGCAGGCTTCTGAGTTAGTCTCTGCAGGTGGGAATGGTTATTACACATCAAAAATCACACACATACACACACACATGCACATACATATCTACACACACATATATACACACAAACATACAGTTGTTTAGTTATACAAAATAATGTAAATGCAGGCTGAAAACAACCAATAGGAAAAAGACTCTCACTTCTAAAAGTGGAAAATAATTTTTAAATTTCATTTTATATTTTGCAACAAACATGCATTTTCTCAGGATTTATTGTTCAAAATAACTTTATTTCTCATGAAACATCTACCTTTATTTATCTCAGTATTTATTTATACAATTGACATGTCTTTGAATGTGTTTTTATTTTTACAAAGAGGCCACCTAGTGGCTTTATGAAATCACACATTTCAAAGTATTTCCCATTGTTTCCTCCAGGCTAAAATGTATTTTGATATAAATGAATTAGAAAAAGTATTAGAAGAATTTAGAAAACCAGGGACCTGAAGATTATGCTTTTAGAAATTATCTACATAGATTAAATTTGGATCATACCTCTATGAGCTTGTTAAGAAACTGTATATATATGATCCATAGTCTTTTTTCTGAAACTTTAAGGGACAAATGTGTTTGAAGTCAGGTTTTTCAGATTTTTGAAAGGTAATATGAGCATATGGTATATATCCTGTAACACTGTCAGTAGGTCTGGGGAAGTAGTCCAGAATCAAATACATTAATAAATCTATGGCAAAAATATCTTTATATTCACATTAAAGTCAGATAAAGACCACAAATAGTTTTATGTCAATTCAGGTCAGCTTTTGCTTCCAAATGAGTTATGAAAAAAGCTTCCCATTCAAACTTTCTTGAAGTCTGGTACTTAGGTAGAGAGTGTAGATCTGTTTTATCCCGAGAAAAAGGAATCAGCCCTCCAGTGATAGAAAAAAAGTAAAATGAAATATTCTGTCATAAAGTAGTAATGGTTATCTTTAGAAATGCCTGAAATGTTCATCCAGAAAAAACAAATATGATATTCGAAGATCATGAGAAATCCCCAGAAAAGAATCTCTGCAATGCTTTTCATTTAGAGTTGTGTACAGAAAGAAGCTAATCCGTCATAAATTACATTTAAACACACTGCAAAAAATTAGCTGCTAATATAAACCTAAATATCATTTTGAAAACCCAATGCATGGCAAGCTAAATTTGTGAGTTCTATAGCATATTAAAAAAATTTTGTTTCTGTGTGATTTGCCAGGTTTCATTTCTCCTGCCCTATGGCTATGGAAGCACGTGTTGAAATGGCATCCTCCTCAGCCCAGATCCCTTGAGTGACTCTTTTGAGAACTGTCAGCCCTCATTAGACGTGTAATATGAGAAACAAACTTCTGTTGTTAAGACATTAGGATTTAGGGATAGTCTATTCTAATTCACTATTTTTCTCAATAGTCAGCTACTTTCCTTCACTAACGAGAGTTTTGGCTTATTCCCTCTAAATAAAGACTTTTAAATAAATTTCTCCCATCACTAATTCAAATCACGTATCACATTCCCACTTTGATTTTTTGTGAATTCTATTAAAAATAAACCTCTTCATCCTCCTCTCACCCAAATGTCTACCTTTTCATTTACTTTGTTCTCAAAAAGCTAGTATTACTATTATTGTAGTGTGGGCAGCAATGCCATTACTTAAGTACTGAGATTTAAAGGATTATCTCCTCAGTTGGAAAATACTCATGGTACATTCAGCCATTTGCTACTTTACCCTAGACCCCACAACACACTTGCATAGGAGTTTCTTTAACTTTATGTAACCATGGAGGCTGGGAAGAAAAGGCACAGGCTGATAGTAGCCTATATGTGGGAATTTTCTTTTTTTTTTTTTAATTTTTTTTTTTAAATGTTTTATTTATTTCTAGGAGAGAGACAGCATGAGCAGGGGAGGGTCAGAGAGAGAGGGAGTCACAGACTCTGAAACAGGCTCCAGGTTCTGAGCTGGCAGCACAGAGCCCGACGCGGGGCTCGAACCCACGAACCGTGAGATCATGACCTAAGCGAAAGTCGGACGCTCAACCAACTAAGCCACCCAGGCGCCCCTATGGGAATTTTCTTATACAGAGCATTGTTGATTTCCTCCCTTTAATAGAGAAAACACAAGGGCGGCATCTGTGTTCCAGTGATTGGGGCCTGACGTAAAGAACTGAGGAAGGTGCATATAAACTCTGGAGTCTGCTCTGCAGTTGAAGCACATGTGAAGCAAGGTCCTGCAAAACCTGAAGATCTTAGCTTCTGACAACAGTAAAACTGATCTCTTAGACTTCCTGAGAGAGTTCCTGGATAAACAGAACACAGACTACCTGGAATACCATCTTGGTGGACAGAAGGAATTAGAAGAGCTGGCCCAAAGGGAATCTGTTTGAAAAGCCTACTGAAGCATCAGGTAGAAACAACCTCTGAGGGCAACACAGCAAGCCTTCCCATTGTAGGAGGTCCCAAAGTCAGCTAGAGTAAGAATCTTGATCTCCATGTGATAGAAGACTGCTCTCACTTTTATCTCGTATCCTAATCCCCATTGTTGTGCTTGAAAATAAATCTGCTTTGCACTATACCAGCAGCAGCAAAAAGCTCAGTTAGCTTCACTTCTGTAACTTCACTTCGGATTAGAAAAGGAAATGACAAAGATAAACTCCTTTTCTTCCATCCCCCAATTCTGAGTGGGATAGAGCAATGGATAATGAAGAAATACAATGAAAGCTGGTGCCTGGTGGCTCACAATGGCTGCCACTGCTGACATCCTATCATTCCTATTCGGGTAAGACTACTTCTCCAACTTCTGTTGTAGAAAGGATGGCTGCCCTCAGTGTTGAGTGGGCTCCTGTTTGCCCTTGACAATCATCGTTTATTCCTGTTACCTTACGGAATATTTTTCTTTTAGAAAGAGAGAGCATGAGTGGGGGACAGGGGCAGAAAGAATGAGAGAGACAGACAGACAGACAGACAGACAGAGAGAATATTAAGCAGGTTCCATGTTCAGCATGGAGCCCAATGCAGGTCTTGATCCCACAACACTGGAATCATGAACTGAGCCGAAATCAAGAGTCTGCTCAGCCAAAAGAGCCACCCAGCGACACCACCCTCATGAAATTATTAACATTTCCTTTTTCTCTCAAAATCATTACAGGCTGAGTAAAAAATTACATGATCATCCTAGATGTAAATCATTTCTACCCCAAAGGAAAGAATGGGAGAAATTTGAATATTCTGCACCAAGTACCCAGATAGAAGAAAGGGGGCATCAACTTTGCTGCCATCTTTTTGTTTGCAAAGCTCAACCTAATTAGCTTTTTTTTCATCTGAAGTGTGTGATGAAAGATTAATCTGAATGGAACATGAGATGCTTTAGGGAGATCTGAAATAGGCCATTCTGAAAATTACTCAAATTAGTCTAGAAGCCACTGGGCAACACTGAAGCTCTTTACATAGAATCCTTTTTAAAGTGATCAGGAAAGCTTAATCTGGAAATTTATAGGAAGCAACCAGAAAACATTTGCAGGAGGAAAAAACTATCAGATTCAGTAAGGGCATTTGGAATGGCAGTTAGTAAAAGTAAAACTAAACATGAAGCACACAGCAATGCCTTTTAAATACCTACCCCATTAACATTATCTACCTATACTCCACATGAAGGTCTTTGCACAAAATGAAATCCAGCTTACTACCTCTGTTTCTATTTGTTCTGTATAGTGACTTTGACAGAACAAGTCAAGAGACAGAATCAAGGCTCTTTTGTTATAGTCCAAAGGTACAGGCAGAAGTAACCACCTGAGGATATTCATGAAAAATATGACGGTTAAGAACATGAGTTCTGGAGCAAGGCTGTCCAGGTTCAAATTGAGCTCCACATCTTACTAGCTACACAACCTTGGTTATGTTATTACATCATCTCTTCACCTGTTTCTCCAAGGTCCCCATGTTGCCCACGGTGGAGTACAGCAGCAGGAGAGCACTATTCACACTGAATTCTGGTTTCCTTACCTGGAGAAATGGAGATAACTTGCAAGATCACACTTTTTTTTTTTTTTTAATGTTTTGTTTATTTTTAAGAGAGACAGAGTATGAGTGGAGTAGGAGCAGAGAGAAAAGGAGACAGAGAATCTAAAGCAGGCTCCAGGCTCTGAGCTGTCAGCACTGTGCCCGACACGGGGCTTGAACTTACGAGCCATGAGATCATGACCTGAGCCAAAGTGGGACCCTTAACTGACTGAGCCACACAGGTGCCACCCCACAAAATCATACTACTAAGAGTTATAGTGCAGATTTAAGAGGGAAATTAGTCAAGTACTTAAACAGTGCCTGGAAAACATTAATATTAGCTACTATTACTATATTACTATACAACTACTACTCTACCACTAGCATTTCTAATGCAAACATCAATACGGTCCCCTTTAATTAACAGCGACAGAAGCTCTGTCGGTGAAATATATGACACCCAAGAATCGTGGAAAAGTGGGGCTAAAAAGTCAGAAAAGGCACATCAAACCATCTTTCTGTTCGTATGTGCTCAAAGGACCTAAAAAAATGGTTGGTAAGGAAATTTGCCTGAAAAGCATCTTATACAAATATGCTTTAGGATCATATAGTTTTTACATCTATAATATAAAGCAAATATTTAGACCTGAAAAGGAAGTTATAAATAGTAAATTCTTCTTTTACAAAGGAGGCAATAGGTAAGTCTGAGAGGTTGACAACCTGTCTCCACTTGGTCACTGAGTTCACAATCGCACCAGGACTGTGGGAATAAGAACCTGGGCCTCTGACTCCCTCTAAAGCTTCTCCCACTTCCCCCAGAGAAGCTTTCTCTTGCATTCTGACTGCTAAAAAGTAACTCAATCCACTTCATTTAATATTTATTTATCATTCAATTTACAGCGCTGTTAAGGGGAGAAATATATTGGAAAAAATACAATTTTCTCATTCTGAAAATTCTGAATTGATTCCGCTTTGCCAAATGGATAGTTAAACACACACATATGCGACAAACACATAAGAGTACTGTCTTTGAAGTTAAAAAATGTCAAACTTAAGTATTTGGAAATAAATGATAGGGTCTAGGAAGAAAGGGTGAAGACACATTAAAAGTGATTTATGCCAACTGTTTCTTTCCTTCAACAGCATTTATCTTAGGTTTGATACCCAACTGCACTCATAATGGAAACTTAGTGAAAACCACCTAGTGATTCTACTTTGAAGTTACAACTCATGTGTGACTAAGATGTTCTGAAATGTAAGCCTATTCATAAATCAGATAAACTTTAGGAACTCTTTATGTCTCTTCTTTTACATAAATTCTATCTCTACCTTGATGTACTTTGGTTGATCAAGAAAACAAAAGGCTAAGGAATAGAAAGCTAACTTCTTTGATTGAGACGAAAGGAAACGTTTTTACAATTACCACTCTAAATAAAAAGTCTTTCTTTCAAATATCAAATCAATTTCCTCAACTGTACAACTATAATTTTGATGGTTTTTACTTTTACTACTTCAATGATTTATAAATTTGTCTAAACAATAAATAATGAAGTACCTTTCCTATTTTTTTCAGGATAAAAACCATTAAATGATGTGTTGAAGACACTACTAAAAATACTTCACATTTCAATTATAGCCTCTGCACTGAAAATCTATAGGAATTTTCCCAATTAATTTTCAAATCTTTCCACAACCGCTCTGTTAAAAAACAAAAACAAAAACAATCATCTTTGAAATAATTCAAATGAATGCTTTACATATCAAATATGGATTCACAAATCCCTATTACCACAGTTATCAATTTTAACAAGTCTCCTAAATATGTTCTGTATTAGTTTTCTTGATTATAAGATATCAATAATAAGGAATCATTTTTAATATTACAGAACATTTAATTACATCAGTTTCCCACCCATAAGCTAGTCATTTAATGATGATTATATCGGCCATTTCCATTGGTTGGCAGGAGGCTCTTCCACTAAAGGCTCCCATGGTTTCCACTGAATCATTTTTCTTGCCAAACTTAGTTCATTTTCAGCCTGTTAATAAAAATTTTTTAAAGAATCATTTGATTATATTGTTTAATAGATATTTATCATAGCTAATGACTGAAGTATAATTATTAGAACTATTTTCATATTAATACCTAATAAGCTGTTCCGCCATCAAATGTTGAACGTTATTAATTAAATTACCTTACCTTTCATAGCTACACAATCATGAGTAAGAAAGGATGGCTTCTGAATTTTTCTATTTGATTAAAATTTGCTATTAAAGGTTTCAAAAGTTTACATGGTGAGTTTTCAAACTTAATTGTTTCACTATTAGACGACAAATTCTTTGAGGATCAGAAGTATGTCTCTTTACCAATGTCAATGGCTTTCAAATTTATTTTAGCATGGCTCATAGTAAAACACAAGAAAATAATTCTACTAAGGGAACCACAACACGCACACAGAACTAAAACAAAGCTAAAAATATGATTACCTTTACTAGCTATGATACATTATTTTCTATTATATTTTTTAAATGCTAGTCACAACCCACCTAACTGATTTTCTTGACTCCTAATCACTTGAGACCCACAGTTTGTAAAACAGTGATCTGTGGAGTATAGAAAATCATACATGTACAAAAAATATTTATTGATTTAATTAATTTCCTTATCAAAAGATGTTGCATTTACTTTTTCCCTTCAAACAAACTGATACCATATTTAACAAATATATTTCAGGTATCTTTTTATTTCACATTTTTATACAACAAAAGACCTATGACAATCCTGGCTCAACCTAGAAGAAGAACACTGTTAAACACTTGTCAGGATACCAGAGAAGGAATTCAAATACAGAATAAGTGCCAGATTCTATCACAGGCTGTAATTCCATAGTTTAAAGCAATGCCTCATTTACGCCACTGGTACAAAACAATCTATGTGTAGCACCAACAGTCTAAAATATGTACAACGAGTTGTTGAAGAGTAGATTAAATGAAATCCGGGGCTAGAAGGATTTACTAATGCTGCAATAAGAAGATAGTATAAACACTAATTAAAAATATCCCTAAAGGTGGCTGTTTCTCGGACTGCCCTTTGGCCCAGGCCTCTTGAATATTTTTTAAGCTCCCAAGACATTGTGTAGCATGAGGAGGCTGCCAAACGCTGAAGGTCAACCCCATTCCAGGTAGCTGGACGCAGCGGCATGTGGACCGTTGCCCAATCCTTCCCTCTTCTTTAGCTTCTAACACACTATCTTTTCCTTATTCATGTCATACTACCTGCTACCTACATGTGACTACTGAGTGAGCACTTGAAATGCAGCTAGTTCAAATTCATATGTGCTGCTAGTATAAAATACACACTAGATTTTAAAGACTTAGTATAAAAAAGAATCCAAAATATATCAATATTTTTATATTGATTATATGTTTAATAATATTTTAAATACATTAGGTTAAATAAAACATCATTAAACTTTAACCTTACTATCACCCATGAAAACATGGAGAACTGCACAGCTGACTTAAAAATACTTATTGAATCCTAAGACTACAACTGCATGAAAAATTAATCTATCAGTTAAATAAAGTCATGATCAAAGGGAAATCTGACAGAAAAGAAAGAGGAACAGAAAAGGAAAATAAGTTAGCAGCAAATTCCCATATGGTACAACAGCTGGCAAATGAATAGAAAGGCCAGGAAAATAGGACTCTGAATGACTGAAAATGGTCTACACTCATAAAAAGCCATCTGAATGCCCGATTCCTCTTGTAACAGAGGCAGCTAGCAAATCTTTTGAATTTGCATATCATGTCTGTTGGTGATCTACCTTCCCTAATCACCAATACTCCCCAGTATTTCCTTTTCTTTGTCCTTTAATAAAACACAAGAATAGTTGCATTTTTTTATATACAAAAAAAATGCACAAATTACATGAAAGAGAAATGAGTATCAGACATATTTAAGGGGAGACGTCTAAACCTGTAACTTGGCGGGGGGGGGAGTCCTGAAGTGATGGGGCAAAGGGGGCAGGGTGATTTAATCATGAAAAATTATGAGAAAAGGTACTAAGTTGGAGTCAAAAGGCAAAGAACAGGCTAAACAAATGTGCAAATAACATAGCCAAAGTTAACGGTTAATCAAAGAAATAAAGAAGAAAAACACTAAAAACAAATGATAGAGTAAAAATATTAATGACATGATCTATATAAAACATAAAATACAATCACATATTTTAAGTTTAACCTTACTAGTAATTGAGGGCAAAATGCACAACTTAAAAAAAAAAAGGCATAATTTCCCCTGATTTAATTAAAAATTGTAGCATTCTTGCCGACATACATGTGTTAATCCAACAGTAAAAAATAAAAATATATTTTAATTTTATGATTCACAAGACCTGTATCTCTCCGTATTAAAAATATACTAAGCCTTTAAAACATAAAAATATTTGTATCTAAAAAGATAAAAGTATCCAAGTAACAGTAATACAGTGTTAGTAGTTTGAACTAAAGTAAGGCTAACAAGAACATGCTGATTAAATTCAAGGTGCATCAAACTCCAAATTCCCAACAGGAGCCTCATAAATTCAAGAATAATTAATGATAAATATTTGACACATACATGATAGAAGTATTTCCTATATGTGATTATTCTGTTATTTGAGAGTTGATCTAAATAAAGAAATTCAGTTTTCCTTTCTCTCTGGAATTTTACTTTTATGTCTTTAAATATTGTACCTCTGAACATTTAAAGCCAAACATCTATTCTTTACCTGCAGAATCACCTCTTCTAGTTGGCCGCACTGAAGTCGGTCTTCTAATTTCTTAACATCTGGTTCCTATAAGGAAAAAAAAGAAAAAAAGATTTAAACAAAGGAGCACAATATCTGAATACCTCAATATCCTAATTAAAAAGACCCAAATATTAAAAAAACCCAAATATAAAAGCACTTAATTTGGCGAACAATTAATTTTTCTTTCACTGTACCCTTACTAATGTTTGCCAAATATGTGGTGGAAACCCATTTCAAATCTCTACTATTTTATTGCTTTCCTGTCTTAATACTAACTTGCTAATCAACAGTAAGAAATACGACGTCCAATTCAGTCTTTCTATAGTACAGATTTTAAAATGCCACTTTATTTTCGTAGTATTTCCTGTATTTCCTCTGAGAGCATCAGTATTGAAAATAAATGCTACCCTATGACCCAGAATTCCATTCCTATGTATATACCAAACAGAAAGCATTATACATTAATCAAATGACATGTTCAAGAATGTTAGCACAAGAATAGTAGCACAAATTATAAACCCAAAGTGGAAAGAATTCAAATGATCATATGTAATAGAATTAAAAAATGCATTATAGTATTTGGATATAACAGAATACTACAGAGCAGTGAGAATGTACAAACTACAACTATATGCAATAACATAGTTATTCTCTTAAACATAATATTAAGTGAATGAAACCACACACAAAATAGCACAGAATGGTGATTCCATTTATAAAAAGTTGAAAACCAGGCAAAATGAATATGTCATGTTAGAGGTCAGAAGAGTAGTTATCTTTAGGAGGGTAGTAACTTGAAGAGGAACAAGAGAGGGTTCGGGCATTCTGGAAATGTCCTCTTTTTGATCTGGTGTTAACATGGGTATGATTACTTTGTGAAAAGTCATCAAGCTCTATATTTAGGATGGCTGCACGTTTCTTTATGTACATTATTCTTCAATAAAAGGTTTTTACAAAGAAATGCCTAGAAAATTCAATGACATACATTTATTTATTTCTAGTCAACTGAGCTGTGGGAGAGCCAGAAACCATGACACACCTACACCTATGTAAGTAAGGTGTAAGTGGGATGGGACTTTGGCCCAGAAATGGAAGGAAAAGAGGGGGAAAAAAAACAAAGAAACCACCGACAGAAATTGGCATGTTTCTGCCTCAGGCCACCTGCCAGCTGACCAGGGATATCTGCATGGCTTGTTCTTTCGCTTCCATCGCTCATATATCACCTTAGTGATGATTTGTACTGTGGTGGGCTAAATAATGCCCCACAAAATTACATGACCTAATCTCTGAAACCTACTGAATGTTTGGCAAATACTCTGTAGACCTAATTAATAATCCCCAGACAGGGAGATTGCCCTAAAAAATATCTAAGTGGGCCCAAATACAAGTGTCCTTATAAGGACAGAGGCAGAGGGAAATTATGCATAGAAGGGAAAGTAATGTGACCACAGAGGCAGAGATTAGAGTGATGTGGCCATAAGCCACGAAATGCTGAAAGCCACCAAAGCTGGAAGAGTCAAGGAACAGATTCTACGCTAGAACCTCTAAAGCAAATGTTGTCCTGTTGACACCTCGATTTGGGCCCTTGATACTAACTTTAGAATTCTGGCTTCCAGAAATGTAAAAGAAAAAATTCCTACTGTTTTAAGCCACTAAGTTTATTGGAACAGGCATAGGAAAAAAATATATATTGTAACATCCCTGACCCTGAAACACATCATCCTTTTCCATTTTCCTTCACTACAAAGATATAGAGAAAAAAAATGATTAAAGGGGGGAAAAAAGCAGGGGTGCCTGGGTGGCTCAGTTATATGGCAATAGTACAATATAGTTTGCTATAAAAGAACTAGCAGCAGTCTACCGTGTGGCTAGAGCCTTTGATTTTGAGGCTATAAAATGCTTGTATTAGTCTGTTAGGGCTGCCATTACAAAAACCATAGACTGTGTGGCTTCAACTACAGAAATTTATTTTCTCACTGTTAGTCCAAGATCAAGGTCCGACAGGGTCAGTTTCTGAGGACAGCTCTCTTTCTGGCTTGCAGAAAATCACTTTCTCAATTTGTCCTCACATGGCAGAGAGAGTGCAAGCTCGTTGCTGTCTCTCTCTCTTTTTTAAATTTTATTTTAATGTTTGTTTATTTTTCAGAGACAGACAGAACATAAGCAGGGGAGGGGCAGAGAGATGGGGAGACAGAATCCAAAGCAGGCTCCAGGGTCTGAACTGTCAGCACAAAGCCAGACGCAGGGCTCGAACCCACAAACATTCGTGACATGAGCCAAAGTCAGATGCTCAACTGACTGAGCCACCAAGGAGCCCCTCTGCTGTCTCTTCTCATAAGGACACTAGTCTTACTGGATCAAGGGGCCAATCTTATGACCTCATTAACCTTAATTACCTCTGTAGAGGTTCCAGCCACACTGAGGGGTTAGGGCTTCACCAGATGAATCTGGAGAAGGTGTGGGTACATATTCAGCCCATTCACAATGCTTGATATAATTTCTGGCAGTTAAGAGACTAATTTGGTCTCTTTGTAACAAAGCACTTTTTAAAATAGTTATATTTCTGACAGTTTTATTTAAACAAAACACATCTTTTGTTTTGCTTTCATTTTCTTCTCTGAAACTAGACAAAAGAGATAGGATTGACATATCTATAAATAAATCAACAATCAGTGAAGGACTTGAGAGGGAAAAGAAGCAGCGATGATGTTAACTTAGAGAAGGGACTTGACCTTATTCTTCCACTCCAGTACCAAATTGCATAAGGAAAGCACTTAGCAGACAGAGGAAGCCTGCTGAATGAAAGGGAAAAAGGATGGAAGGAAAGCACAGACGAAATAAGAGAGGAAGTATGCAGAATATGCAAAAAACAAACAAATGAATTTTTTTCTTGTTAATGTTGCATCCGAAACCATAAACCCAAGAAAGCAAAATCAAGTCAGCTACTTACCGCTTTAACCATACTCAACTTCTCACTTGTAATCTGTTCTGTGTACTTTCTATACGCTGCATTTTTAGGAATTTGCTCAAGAACATCAAGAATCTTTGTGTACAATATTCTTAGCCTCTGAAAAGACAAATCACATACATTTCCAGTTTAAAATATCACCAGATTTAATGGAACACTTTAAAGTTGTTTTTTAAAAAGCATTTAACTCTTCTTTGCTGCAATTTCTTCATGTCTATCCCTTATCCATCCCCTTTATAACTAAGGAAAAACAGGAATATAGTGAACCCTTAAACAAAGCTGGGGTTAGGAGGCCGATCCCTGGCATGGCTGAAGATCCACATATAACTTTTGACTCCCCAGAAACTTGACTAATAGCTTACTATTAACCAGAAGCTTTACCAATAACACAGTCAGTTAACACATATTCTGTATGTAGTATGCATCATATATTGTATTCTTACAATAAAGTAAGCTAAGGAAAAAAAAATGTTATTAGGAAAATACATTGACAGTACTGTACTGTATTTACTGAGAAACCTCTGCATAGAAGTAGACCCATGCAGTTCAAACTGGTGTTGTTCAAGCATCAACTGTACAAATATGGACAGTTTCCACGCTGCATGAGCAACAAAAGTTGTATAGAAATTAGAGGTATGATACCAAGTAAAAATAAAACTGCATCCTAATTTTCCTAATTTATTGCTAATGATCTATTTGAAAATCAACTCATTTACTAAATCATTATTTCTCAAGTTGAGATCCTAAGCACCAAAATTTAGATTTTTCCCCCCAATTTTTATTTGAATTTCTGTAGGAATAAAAAATAAAGGCGCGTGTGGGTTGCTCAGTCAGTAAAGCCCTTGATTTCAGTTCAGGTGATGATCTCATCATCATGAAATCAAGACCCCCATCAGGCTCTGTGCTGGATGTGGAACCTGCTTGAGAGTCTTTCTCTTGCTCTCTCTCTCCCCCTCACCCTCCACTTCCATTATTTTAAATAACTGCGTATTTGCATAAAATATGCAATGCTTATCAGGATGATCAAATTTAACTAAATGTAGTCATAATGTTTCAGCTTATAATGCCTGAGTTGGTACCACGTGAATGAAGGTTTCACCACAGCCTTAACAGAGAAAAGGAGCAAGAGAGCCGAGTCACTGTACAGCACGTACAGAAGCACAATGAACTTAAAGTTCACATACAGTGGTTAGTGGTAAAGTCACATGGTTAGAAGTTGTTATAGCAGATCCTAATTCATGACAGCTCATAAACAGTAAGTATAATCATAAATATACATACGTAATGAAGAATTTATTATTTCTTTGTATTTAATTTGAAATTTTAGTTTAACTGTATAAAATCCTACAGGAACGGTAGGACTTGGCTGGACACTTAAAGATATAGAAAAAGGCAATCTTACACATAGAATATGTACAAAGGATAAAATGACAGAAATAAAAGGAACATAATCAGTATACAGTTCTATTTCTCTTGCACTATGCAGTCCAGCAAGGTAGTTACTGGTCAAATATGGCTACTGACCACTTGAAATGGGCTAGTCTAAACTAAGAGGTGCTGTAAACGTAAATATACAGTGGATTTTGAAAATCTAGTACGGAAAAGAATATAAAATATTAATTTTTATACTGAATATATACTGAAATATTTTGGCTATGTTAAATTATTAGTATTTACATTTTTCTGTATTAAAAAAAAAAGTGACTCCCAGAAAATTGAAATTACAAACACAGCTTACATTTATTTATTTATTTTTAAATGTTTTATTTTTTTTCTTTTTTAAATTTCTGAGAGAGAAAGAGAGACAGCATGAGCAGGAAGGGTCAGAGAGAGAGACAGACACAGAATCCGAAGCAGGCTCCAGGCTCTGAGCTGCCAGCACAGACCCTGACTAGAGGCTCAAACCCACTGAACCGTGAAATCATGACCTGAGCCGAAGTTGGATGCTTAACCGACTGAGCCACCCAGACGCCCCAAACACAACTTACATTTATAATTGACATTATATTTTTATTGGACAGCCTGTGGCTAGAATATAGAACACAGAGGAAATGTGTAGGAGATAAGATTAGAGAAAAAGTGAGTCAGAGTGTAAGTGGTTTTGTGTGCCACATTAAAGCTTTTGGGATTATTCTGTGGGCAATTAAAATGATTTAGGAAGATCGTATGATTAGATTTGTGGTTCAGGAAAATTAACCTGGTAGTAGTGACTTAAAGGACTGGATGAAGAAGAAAAAGGCAGAAAGGCCAGCAGCACAGTTGCTGTAATTCTCTACACATAAGAGAATCAAGAGGTCACAATGGAAAGCTGTTACAGAAAAGGATCAACAGAGCTTGTCGCTGGAATAAACAGGAAGTAAGTTCCAGGGAAAAGAGAAGTATCCACTGCGATGTCCAGCTCCCAGCCTGGGGAGTAGAAAGACTCTGCTAGCACCAGGAAAAATGGAGTCTACAGTAAAACAAATAGATTTAGAAAGCGAATGCCATGAGTTCATTTTTAGACAATAATGAGTCATTATGAACTCATAATAAGACATTCATTCAACAAACCTTACACTTTCTGAGCACATATCATGTGCTAGTCATAGTTTTAGCGGTGAACTAATGGGGGAAAAAACCCTACCTTCACAAAAATCTACCTTCTAAAAGAGAGTCAATGAACGGGATAAATTAATAGAATACAATATGTTGAATCGTGACCTGGAGGGCCTTTGTTAGGACTCCTTTGTTTAGAGTGAAATTGAAAGCCACTGGAGGGTTCTGAGAGTGACATGACCTGACACAATCAGGCTGACTCTAGCTTGGATGAGAAAACCAAACTGAAACATGGCAAGGAGGGAGAGGCAGTTAGGAAGCAAATGCAAGTATCTGCAGCTTGATGATGGTAGCTGAGAATATGGCTGTGGCAGAGGAGATGGTGAGAGGCACTCAAAATCTGGATGTACATTAAAAGTAGAAGCCCAAAGGATTTAATGAAGTGCTAAATGTGGGGTGTGAACAAAAGAAAGGAACTAAACACGATTTCAAGGTTTTTGACCTGAGTGACTGCAAGGATGGAACTGTCATTCATGGAGGTGAGCAAGCCTGGGAGAAGAACAGGTTTGAAGGGAAGAACAAGAAGCCAGTTTTGGACATTACGTTTGGGTTGCATTTCTGACATCCAAGTGGAGATGTCCACTAAGCAATTAAACATGCAAGACTCTCATAAAGTGAGGGGAGTGCTCCATAGAGAAATCTAAGAGTTATCAATGTATTGGTGGTATTTAAAACCACTAGGTTGGGTCCAGACAAGGAGACACACATAGAGAAAAGTCCCAAGAAGTTCCAAGAACCAAGACTTAGCACTCCAAAATTTGTAAGTGGGATATGAGAAATGACCAGGAAAGGACAAGGCAAAAAGAGTAAGAGGAAAAAAATCAAACAGAAAAACCAGGATATTGAGGCGTCTCCAGGCACAAAGTGCTAGATGAAGACAGTGCCAAATGTGGCAAGTGCTGTTACTGAGTTCATTAAGATGAGAAACGTGAGCTGACCGTTGGAGTTAGCAGCACAGAAATAGTGACCTTGAAAAGAGCAGTCCTAGCCAAGTCTGAGCGGAGTGCCTTCACACGGGAATAAGAGAAACTGGAGACAGTTGAGTACAGACTAAGTCTTTCGAGTGATCTATAAAGGGAAGGAGAGAAATGGTGTGATTGTTGAGGGAGGAAAAGGATCAAGGCCGGTTTTTTGGTTTTTTAGGAGGAAGCATTCCGAATACTGATGCGAAAGATCCACTAGAATGGAAAACTGATGACATAAGGGGTTAATCACTAGAGCGATATATTCAATAAGTCAAACTGTACAGGGAGCTACGGAGCCCAGACAGAAAAGGTGAGGCGGGGGGAAAAGGTGGAAACTGGAGACAGGAAGGGGAGGGCACTCATAAAGGGGAAGCCACGAGAATGCCACGGAAAAAGTCCACAAGAAAAGTGGCTTAACAACAAGGCCATGCATCGGATCACCGACGTAGGTCCTCCTCAAGACAGCTCTCAGGCTGTCGTAATTCGGGGCTTGAAATAGCCGCATTCCGACAGCCTTTCGAACAAGGTCACAGAGTTGTAGTCTTCCCTGGGGACTCGGGAAGGAAGCGGCACGTACCTCGTGTGGACTCTCGCACACAGCCAATCCCACAAGGCCGGTGGTCTGTTCAAAAACAAAACAAGGCGCACGCTGTTTACAATTCCGCACGTCCACCGCGCGGAGCAAGGGCAAAACCACCACAGCCCTGGCTAACACTGGCCCCAAACCAGCTGTCGGTCTCTCCCCGCCACTCGTTTGGAGCGTTTTTCTGCCTCTCCCAGAGGAGCTACTAAATCTGTCATCCCGGAAGGCAGAGCAGAACGACTACCCCTAAAAAGCACTGGCAAGCCCGCGCCAGTTCGGACCACCACCCGCAGGATCGGGGGCTATCGGGCCGACTCCACCCGCACGGTCTAAATTCCAACAATGACCTCCCCATTCACCTCACCTTCTTCAGCAAACCCGCCATGACCGCGCCGACGCGCCGGGGACGCGCGGCCCTCTGGGAATCCCGCCCAGACCCGCTCAATCCACCACCGAGGCCCGACTCTCCGTCACCTAGGAAACAGCTTTGTCCCTCCCCCTCACCCACTCAGGCTCTCCACAGAGGCGAAGGCTGTGCCCCGCCCACCCCAGATGGGAGAATTGACGCATGCGCAATGAGTACACAGGGTCTAAAAGCAGGTGCTGGAGGGTTGTCATAGGAGTCAGGTCTCGATTCCAGGCTTTGCCGCCGCTGGCGAGCTTGCCCAGAGGCGAAGGGAAACACTCCAAATTTCCAAACAGTTCCGACAGAACCTGCACCCGGCGTAACTTTTGGCGAATTCCTCAACCTCCCTTCCGGTGTATTATGTAGTAAAATGACAGTGGTCGTCTGGAGGTATCATCTGAAGTGATTTCGTGCCAGCCAAGTTTCTCAGTCTAATGCTCCAAAGCAGTTTGCAGTGTGAGGCCATTTCCCATCTCGAGCCTTTTCTATTTCTTTTTTTGGAAATACACCATCCATCTTCTCATTTCCCCCAGGTGAGGCGATACCAGAGCATACCACTTCCCCCCACTTTCCTCTACAAACATTTATCAAGTACCTATTATGTGTTAGTTACTGAGACATAATTTGTAAGAAAGGATCTCACATCCTTGAATTTACTGAACATTGGTGAAGATATGCATTAATAATCTGGTAAGTGTTCCAAGAGAGTTTTGTGCCAAGTGCAAGTGGTAGCACGGAAGAGGAAATAACTAACCAAAGTTGTAAGAACTGGAGTTAAGGCATCTGCTAAAAAGCCAATGGGAGAAAAGCACAACAAATTGAGTAAACACGTGTACAAAAAATGTATGTATTATGAGTAGCAAAAAGTGCAGTAAATAGTAAAACAACCCACAGAATGGAAGAAGATATTTCCAACTACATAAAATCACCAAAGTATAAGTGGGACCTGGAATATAGAAAGAACTTCTATAAATTAGTAAGAAGATTATTGTTAACCTGGACAGGTCTCCCTGCTTCCTTCCATTCTCGCCTCGCACTCTGGAATATATTAAATGACTTTACATGTGTAAGGCGCCCGGCCCGTGTAACATAGCACCACACACATGTAATTGTTATTGATTTGTTATTCCATGGTTATTATTCTCAATAGCTGCAGTAGCTACAATAGCTACAATAATCCTTTTCAATAATCCAGTAGCTACAATAATCCTTTTCGAACATACTGCGCTCTAAATTCTCCCATAGGTTTTCCCTCAAGGTGTAAAAGCCAATGTCCTCTCATCTGCCTATAAGGCCCTGCCCAAGATAGCCTCTCACTTCTCAGACCTAACCTCCTCTTCCCCTTTCCCTGCTCAGGTAGCTGTTCTTCTAACCCTTTGCTTGGAAAACCTTTCCACCAGATGGGCACATGGCTCCGTCTTTCACCTCTTTCAAGTCTTTTTTCAAATATTACCTTCTCAGTGTGGCCTGCCCTGGCCATGAGATTTAAAATTGCAAATTACCATGAACTCTTTGTGTTCTTCCCTCTTTTGTTTTCTTCATAGTCTTTATCACCTTTTAATGTGCTATGGCATTATCTTACTTACGTTATTTCTAGGCATCACCTTTCTAGAATATAAACCATATGTGGAGGGAAAATGTTTCTTACCATATCTGAAATGCCTAAAATAGTACCCGGTACATAATAAGCAATATATTTTTAATGGATACAATAGAAAAATAGGCAAAGGAAATGAATAGGCAATTGACAAAATATGGAAACAGGAACAATCAATAAACATGAAAAGGACTCAACCTCTCTAATAATCAAGAAAATTAAAATTAACTATGATTTGACTGCCATCTTATGGACAAAAATTAAAGACTGACAATACCAAGTGTTGTCAATGCCAAGTGGAGCAACAGAAATGCTCAGACACTGATGGTGGGAGTGAATTGGTATGAACACTTTGGAGAATAATTTCACAATAATTAGTTGAAGAGATACAAAACCTATAGCTGAGCATTATGGGTTGGACTATAACCCCCAAAATTCATATGTTGAAGTCATAATTGCCACTATCTCAAAATGTGACCTTATATAAAAATAGGATCATTATAAATATAATTAGATAAGATAAGGTCATTAGACTGGGTCCTTGTCTAATACAACTGATGTCCTTATAAAAAGGAAACTTCAGACACCGAGAAATGTACACAGAGTACGTCATGCAGGGATGAGGGCAGAGATAGGGATGACACTGCTACAAGCCAAGGAACAACAGCGACTGATAGAAAAATCACTAGATGTTAGGGGAGAGGCATGGAACAGATTCCCTTAGCCCTTAGAAGAAACCAACTCTGCTGACATTTTTATCTCACACTGCTAGCCCCCAGACAGATGAGCAAATACTTTTAATGCTCTTTAAATCACTCAGTGTATGTTATTTTGTTACAGCAACCCTATAAACTAACACTGAGTCATAAATTGGTTTGATCATTTGCTCCTCTCTTCTATTAGGATAGCTGTTTCTACAAACATAAGTCATGGGGTTATAATCTTCCCAGGTCAGATTGCCCAAGAATTAGGCTTTACCATAACTTCCATCATAATTTCTAATTTCTAGTATTTAAATCATTCACAATTTAAATTCAGGACATTGGAAATACATATTAACCCCTGTGCACATATTAAGGCACTGTAGAGATTCACACAGGCATGTGCGTGGATATACACACATATAAAAATATAAAGAAACTACTGAATTTGAACAAACCATCTGATGCATCAATTTACTCCTACAAAGATGACATACATATTTGGGCCCACTGTATTAGATTCAGGAAGCCATATCAGAATTGGCAAGAAATTACCTTATTTTTCAAGCCAGATAATGCTGAAATAATCCCTGGAACCTAGATGAATGGACATTTATGAGGTCACAAACTTTGTTGCCCATCTCTCCAAAATTCTAAGAATTTTTGTCATTGTGGGTGTGTTCTAGAATGTAGAACTATGTGATTATAAAAGATGCATGTGTTTTCATTTGTTGTAGCTTTGGGAGTTCAGGCTTCTGCCGTAGCGCATTTGCCAAAGACACCACGGCTGGACAGCCCTGGCTGTTCCTGGCTGAGGTACTGCATAACTAACCATTTCTATGTGGTGGGAAAATGTGTAGGTTTTCTAAATCAGTCCCTTTGCAGAGGTGCAAGGCTATGTATGCAGGGGGCTTGGCAGTGATGTCCTATGGCTGGTGATAGCAGAATTAGCTACAAAGAGAAATCAGCCTTGGCATCTGTGATATCAGAAAGGGATTGGGGGGAGGGGGCGCCTGGGTGGCTTAGTCGGTTAAACGTCCGACTTTCGCTTAGGTCATGATCTCGCGGTTCGTGGGTTCGAGCCCCGCGTCGGGCTCTGTGCTGACTGCCAGCTCAGAGCCTGGAGCCTGTTTCTGAGTCTGTATCTCCCTCTCTCTCTGACCCTCCCCTGCTCATGCTGTCTCTCTCTCTCCTAGAAATAAATAAAAAAATATTAAAAAAAAAAAAAAAGAAAGGGATTTGGGAATGTCTTAATGTGAGTAGCAAGGACATCATATATAACTGGAATAGTTAGGACCTCCTACACTGCTTCTTAATGACAAAAGCTTTTCTGTGAAAGGCTAGATCTTATAAAAGTTAGGTAGTGAAAATGTTTCCTAGAATCTAGGGCTCTGGAGCTATGTTCCCCAGCCAATTACTTGAAGGGAACATGAAATCAAACAGCTGAAAAGGAAGAAAGCATCTCAATTTTCAAGACACAAGGGACTGATTCCTAATAATCTAAGGGGAATAAGTACTGCCTTGCCAATTTTACTTTTAGTTTTCATAATCTGGGAGCACGGGTGAAAATATTCTTTCAAGAGTATTCTTTCCTCTCCCAAACTTGGCAAGAATGAGAATTTTTTCCCCAAATTAGTTCTTAGAACAGATCAACATATTAAAATTCAAATAGTTTGGATATTACCCATCTCTTGTGCTTCCGTTCATATCAGGCATATGCAAAACAATTTGGATTTTTTCCAGTCTTTTCTATCTATGCTATGGATATTTGTAAAAACTATATTGTTTTCAGTATGGTGGTTTTTAGAACCTCATTCTAAATCAAGCTATGACTTAGATAGAAGCTGTTACCAAGTTTTATCTTAGGGACTATCAGCTTCCACGTATGAGTTACTTACTGTGTGAAAATGGGCATATCCAATACTGCCACCCAGATTTGGGATGTTTAACATCGAGGTTAAAAAACAGGTATCTGTTCTGAAAACTGAGACCTATGGAAGGACTGAATAATAAAGATTTTGAGCCACCTCATCCCTGCCAATAGGGAGCATCTCTAACACCACTTCGTGTACTAAATGCAGCTGCTTTCCATTTAAAAGCAAGCAAGCAAGAGCTGCTGAAAGTCAGGAATTTTCTTAAGCAGATAGAAACTGTTTTATGAGATTAAAATAACAATTTATTAACATAAGTGATAATAATAATATATTAATAAGGTGGTAATAAAACAATAATTATTTTTAAAATGAATACCTTAACAGAATTTAGAAATAAAATTAAGTATAATAAAAACACTGAAACTGGTGAAAAGATATCATAAATGTAGATACTGTATTTTTAATTAATCTCATTAATGTGAAATGACAAGTCAAGTGAAACAAACAAGATAAAAGAGGCCGAAAACAAAAGTTAAAGTAGAGATGGGGCTTTGGAAATGTGAGATAAAGAATACAATCATCTCTGAAAACCAGATAAACAACAGAACAGCTAAAATAATCATTCATTAAATAAATATATATTGATTGCTTACTTTATGTCATAAACTACAACTAGTTATTAAGGATCTGTCAGCGAATCAGGAAGACAGGTTTCAATCATTCTAGTGGCTGGACACACAGTAGACAAGTCAATAAATTAAACTACCAAATGTGAGATTTTCCAAAGGAAATGAGCACTGTGCTATGAAGGATGGGGATCTAGTTAAGACTGCAGGAAACCCTGTCTGTGATGGTGACCCTTACTCTGAGATATGAAGGAAGGATCCAGTCATACAAAAACTAGCTAGAGTTCAGCAGAGACAATAGTAAGGATCAAAGTATGAGCAGATGAATGCCATGACAGGTGTGTGGCTGCGGTGGAAGGGTGACCTTCTGCACAGCGAAGGAAATAATCAACAAAACAAAAAGGCAGCCTATGGAAAGAGATAAGATATTTGCAAATGACATATCTGACAAAGGATTAATATCCAAAATCTATAAAGAACTTTTCAAACTCAAAACCCAAAAAAACAAACAACCCAGTAAGGAAAGGAGCAGGAGATATGAATAGACACATTTCCAAAGAAGACATCCATTTTGCTAACAGACACATGAAAGAATGCTCAATGTCACTGAACATCACTCTATCACTCAAAATAAATAAATTTTAAAAATAAATAAAAGAGAGTAATGAAAGAATAAATGTAAAGGGATGCTCACAGAAGGGACTGACAGGAGGGAAATGGACATGAACAACTAGAGTAATGACACAGAATTGGGAGGGGCCTCCAAAAATTCCGATTAAAACTATACAAGTCATTATAAAGAAATCTTAGTGGAATTTTTAGAAATGTCTTTTAGTTTACAAATTTCAAAACTTCCTTTAAATATTCTATTAGGGTCCTGTATATGAATCCATATGCTTTGAAAAGCTGAGTAAATAATGGTGGAAACTTTTAATATAAACTTCATGGTCCACCTAGCTTTAATTCTCAAGAGCTCCATTATTTGCAATATATAATATTATGCAGTTTATAATATGTAATAGAAAATGTAAGGGAAAATAGTCTCAGGGACCTTCTCACACATTCAAGCAACGTTATTCTGTAATAGCAGAGGTATTAGAAAATATCCCAAACTGCCTCTTTGTTTTCCATAGAAAAGTCCGTTAAGAGGACTTCATAAGCCATGCAGTGAACTCTCCAGCAGGTGGTGATAAAGAGACATATGTAAATGACAGTCCTGACAACCTTATACCATTGAGGGAATGCAGAAAAAAGATTTTTAAAGATTTTCTGGCAATTTCACTTGGTAAGAAACATAGTAAGCGGTAAAACATAAAGGAATTTGGTTTAAAATACCTCATATACAGACAGCAAGAAAAAATCTTGTCCAGGAATGGCTAAGACCCCAAAAGAGCCAATCAGCCACTTAAAGTCATTACTAAAAAGAGTAAATAACAGGATAAGGAGGTCTTGATTATATGCCTTTATATGCCATTAGAATGCTATTGTATGCATTTTTAATAGTTGGTGAACGTATGAGATTGACTTAAGGGGCAGTAAAAAGAAGGAAGGAAGAAAGGAAGATGGTCAATCAGCCACTGTTAGCACCTGGGGAAGGAAGGTAGCAGAGAAAAGGAACAGTCTGAAGAAAGGCTGATACTGTTACTAAAAATCCAGCTGAACAAGAAATGGAACCGGCACACCCACAGTAGCTCAGGGCAAGTAAACAAGGTGGAAAAGGGAAGATAAATGGAATTCACGTAATAGCCTAAAAGCACAGCTTAGCTGTGATAGTTGGAGAGAACATGGTGGGGAGACCCTCGAAGAATCTGAGAGGCAAGCACATTAAATATAGTTGATTTCTCTGTTCAATTACAGGGAAGAGGATGCAGAAGAGAATAGAAGTGTGATGGAAATGTCTTACTGTGGGTGACCTAGACAATTCGCAGTTAGAAGCAAATAAAGACTGCCGTTATTATGTTTTTGTCTAAGAAAAACTGCATTCTGATGAGATATAGGATTAAATCCTTGTCAACGGTACAGAAAGCTTATAACTATTGCCATTATCGTGCGCGGTAGCGCTTTTCTTCGGACCACCTCACCACACTCGCAAGTCTCAGTCTGTGCCTTTCTAGAGAGCTGTAGGGGCTACCCCCGGCATACTGCGCTAGTCAGCGGTCACGTAATGCCTTCTGGACTAGCTTTTCTCTCTGGGAGATTCTAGGCAGGAGCAAGGAAAGCTGTATATAGTAAGAAACTGACCTCCTATGTCCTCACTTACTCCAGCAGGTACACCTCCTCACCTCTACTCCATGGCTTGATGCCACCCACCTTGACACATTACGGTCTGAGCAGATATTAGTTCCCCAAGAGACAAACTGCAAGGGAGATGCCAAGATGTTTCTCCCTCCCTATTCTTAATTCGGAAGAATCAGGGGGGTTAAAAATCTTTATGTTGTTAGCCCTGCCCATTTCCCATACCCACTAGCGTTTATATATTCCTTTTTCTCATGGGTATACCTCTCCCCTATGGTCTTCTCTTCCAAATCATTGTGAACTGAAAAGGATTCTAGGTAAGAATACTGCTCTTCAATTTCCCAGCTTTATGGCTCATGCAGGTGCTTCAGCTTGTCTGGATCTTGGCCAAGATCTCCATCTGTGAAGCTCACAATGGTTGACTTAGGTCGTCATTTCCTGACAGGTGGTTCATGAACCCTTAGATGTTCAAGACTGCATTCTGGGGCATTCAGGTCAAGACAAGATGTAATGGTATTTTTTTTGATTTATATTTTTAGATAGCAAATTAACATCTTTAAATTTTTCCTATTAATGAGACACCTGGGCGGCTCAGTCAATTAAGCATCTGACTCCTGATTTTGGCTCAAGTCATGATCTCACAGTTCATGGGATCAAGCCCTCATGTGGAGCTCGGTGCTGACAGTGTGGAGCCTGCTGGGGATTCTCTGTTCCCCCCTCTCTCTGTCCCTCCCCAGCTCACACTCTCTTTCTCAAAATAAATAAATAAACATCAAAAAAAATTCCTCTTAGAAAAAGAATATTCAAAAGCCTCCAACTACACAGCAGATAAATATGTGCTGTGCTTAGTAGGGGGTCAGATATCACACCTGCACATAGAAAGTTTTGGCAGTTTTGACTGTTTAGAATTAAGTTGTTTTTCATTGTGGTCAGGATATTGACATTTATATAGTCAGGGTACTGAACACTTCCCTTACCGTAAGGATCTCTCATGTTACCATTTTTTTAAGTTTATTTATTTTGAGAGAGAGAGACAGAGCACATGTGGGGTAGGGGCAGAGAGAGAGGGAGAGAGAATTCCAAGCAGGCTCCACACTGTCAGCATAGATCCTGACTCAGGGCTCAAACTCATAAACTGTGAGATCATGATCTGAGCCAAGATCGAGAGTCGGGCTTTTAACCAGCTGAGCCACCCAGACATGTTGCCATTTTATAGCCACTTCACTTCTCTCTCATTCACTCCCCTTTCACCCCTGGGATCAGCAGCCTGTTCTCCATCTCAAGAACGTTCATAAGTGAAATCATACAGTGGGTATGTAACCATTTGGGATTCACTTTTTCACTCAGAATAATTCTCTGGAGATGCATCCAGACTGTTAGACGTATCAATAGTTTGTTCCTTTTTATTGCTGAGTAATGTTCCAGGGTATGAATGTACCACTTTGTTTAACCACCCACTTGTTGCTTTCATGTTGGGGCTAATTACAAAGCTGCTATGAACACTTACAGTCAGATTTTTGAGTTAACTTAAGTTTTCATTTCTCTGGTATAACCACCAGGAGTGTAATTGCTGGGTCTATGGTAATTTCACGTGTAAGTTTTTAAGAAACCATCAAACTGTTTTCCAGAGTGGCTGTATCATTTTACATTTGTACCAGCAATGCAGGAATGATCCAGTGTTCCCCATTCTTGCCAGCATTTAGTGTTGTCACTATTTTTTGTTTCTAATTTTACTCATTCTGACAGGTGTATAGTGATGGCTCATGTGCCTGTAATTTCCATTTCCCCAATGGCTTGATGTTGAACATCTTTTCATGTGTTTATTTGCCCTTTGCAAAGGGTCTTCTCACCAAAAATAAACGTGACTATGTGAGGTGATGGGCAATAGATGTATTAATTAACTTGACTGCAGTAATCATTTCACAATATGTACATATACCAAATCATCACATTTACCTCTTTAACTATATCCAATTTTGTCAATTATACCTCAGAAAAACAAGCAAACTAAAACATTACCAGCACACCACTAAATTTTGAAAGAATTTAGTTTCTGCTTCCTTTTTGCTAATTTTGAGAGCAGAAAACATAATATTTACTCCTTGTACTTTCCCACAGCACTTTGTACAGAGCTAGTCATAAAGCAGGCATACCTAACAAGTACACGTAAATCAAATTATAGATTGTTAAAGCACTGAACTGAGGGGGGTCATCAGAAATTATAAGTGATGGAAGAATCTTGGATTTGAGAATCATAAAATGTTCTCTTTCTTTTTTACCATCAATATTCTGGTTTTAGCTTCAGCATTTCAGACTTAAAGATCTCTGAAGGGAAACATGCTCTGAAGGTGTGTTCAGGAGGTTATGCATAAGCTATTCTCTGTTCTTCATATGGATGTTTTCATCTTTAAACCTATATGGCCTGAGGCTGTGCTATTTGATTTATATTTGTGTTTTTAGTGATCTTTATTTACTCTAGCAGTTCATTTTTTTAAACATTTATTTATATTTGAGAGACAGAATGAGACAGTGTGTGAGTGGGGGAGGGGCAGAGAGAGAAGAAGACACAGGATCTGAAGCAAACTCAGACTCTGAGCAAGCTGTCAGCACAGAGTCCAACACGGGGCTTGAACCCACTCATTGTGAGATCATGACCTGAGCTAAAGTCGGACTCTCAACCAAGTGAACCACCCAGGCGCCCCTCTAGCAATTTATTCTTAAAGCTAGGCTATTAATTCCTTAGCCCACTGTATTTTGTTTAAAAGATCTTGTAGCAAATAACATTTTTTTCTTGAAGAATGGAGTCATGCCTTATCCAGTAATGGGCAGTTTATACCATGTTTAAGTGCTTCCATTTCACTGCCCTACTCAGTACTCTCTTATTTTATTTTATTTTATTTTATTTTATTTTATTTTATTTTATTTTATTTTATATTTTTCTATTTCAGTCTTGAAGACTTTATTGGATTCTCATCCTACTCCATTAACTCCCACCTCCCAGCTCTGTTTATGACACAAATGGGAGAAAAATGTGGATGGAGAGAAAGGTAGGAATGAATGTGTGAAATTGATCCTTTTCCTTAACCAACAAGTTAGGTTCATTTATGTGTAATGATATATAACACGTATATTCGCTCTGATTTTTGTAGTTTTTAAAGATATCTTTTCCTATACAGTAATCTTTTATTTTTTTATGTGGTTCTTCATATATTTAGAAAGGCTTGTATTTTTTTATTCAGTGATGGACTTTATATTTGTGATATTACATAATTCTATTGGTTACCGATTTTTTAACAGTTCCTGTTAGTTTCCTACTAGGAACACATTGATAAAATAGCCATGTTCAGATCTCTGTGACTAATATTTTGAACTTCAGTGTATGGCTTTCATATATCCTTAGTAAATTCCATTGTTCAATTTTATTAGCGTTGCTAGAGCATATTGAGATAATTTTCCATTTTGGTAAAAACTTGTGTTCTATGTTATTTCTAGAGGTATGTTTCACTATTATTTTGATACTGAGAAGCACTATCACCCTTCTAGAACCAAGCACCATGTTTTAGATCAAATAATTCCAGAAATAACCTGTTTTCCCTTAAGAGCTTTTAGAAAACTTCATGCCCAATATTTTGTTCATTTAATACAGGCAAACCCATCACAATGATATATACAATTGTATTTTAGCTCCACTATTCAGATCTATTTTAATTCATGCAATTTTGTCATATTCTATTTATCATTGTAACTCACCTATAATTCTTTCTGCAATAATGCTCTACTTACAGCTTTTGAAAACCCCAAAATTTGATGCTCATAGCAATTAATTAAAAATGTTAATAAACACATGGAACTTCTTGAACAATACAGTTAAATCAACATCAAACTATTATTTTCTTTGGTGGGGACCCTGGGTGGCTCAGTCACTTCAGTGTCCAACTTGGGCTCAGGTCATGAACTTGCAGTTTGGGAGTTTGAGCCCCGTGTTGGGCTCTGTGCTGACAGCTCAGAGCCTGGAGCCTGCTTTGATTCTGTGTCTCCATCTCTCTCTGTTCCTCCCCTTCTCCGTCTCTCTCTGTTCCTCCCCTTCTCACACTCTGTTTGTATGTCTCTCTCTCTCTCAGAAATAAATAAACATTAAAAAAAATTAAAAAATGTTTTCTTTGGGTGTAATTGAACCCTAAGAAATTGAACCCACTAATTTTTTCTTTATCCATGCTTCTTTATCTAACCCTATGGTTCCTAGGTGAGTTTCTTTCAAAGGCTTTGTGGAAATTATGACCTCTATTTACTAGCTAGTGTTCTTCGTGGGAAAAAAATGGCAAGCACAGTACCTTACATATAGAAATTACTATTGCAATATTGAATAAATAAAAGGATACATGAATGGTAAAATAAGGTTCAAAAGATAAAAGTTATTCACAATCCATACTGAATGATTTATTTGTCTTAACGGCTCATACACTACCTGCTTATATTTTACATCAGTTTAAAAAAATCATCACATTTAACCATCCAGAGTCTCCTGATGCCTTTTTCATTCTCTGTCTTGCTCCAACTTTACCAGCAATATTTCTGCCATCAGCACTGGATGTGTTTTAGTCTCTAGGAAATAATTTGCCTTGGCCTAGATATCTGTTTTTTACATATTTGCTATTCTCCTGCTTATACCTCTCTTTCTCTTTAGAGAACTTTTCCTTCTGTGTTTTATTTTATTAAGTAGGCTCCACACACAGGGTGGAGCCCAACATGGGGCTTGAACTCACGACCCTGAGATCAAGAGTCAGATACTTAGTGGACTGAGTCATCCAGGAACCCCAAAGGACTTTTCTTCAAAAAATTATCTCTATATTGTTCTCATTCATTCATTCATTCATTCATGCCTGCATGTAAGTTCAGTTAATTTGAGGCTTTAGTGTTCCTGACATAATCATATGGTATCTGCCCATTTAATATCAGAACTCCAGAAAGTTTGCTATGAACTACAGAAATTTCATTCGATGCCTCATCCTTTCCTGTCTCAGTGAAGCCTGAGTGTGCATGGTTAGACTTTTCCATCCTACAGTCCACCCTCCCTCTTGTAGATATTCAGGCAACTGAACATTGGTATCCATAAACTTTATGAAGTCTTATTTCTCCTGTTTCCTATCTGCCATATCCAGTTTTCTTTTTTTTTAATTAATACAAATCTGGGATGACACAATTTATATACAAGATGTTTTACATGCAAAGGTAAGAAACAAGAAACAGCATTAATAGTGTTATCCAATATACAAAAATGTGGGTCATATTTATTTTACCAATTAGATCTGAATACATTGATTCCATTGTAACATGTTTTCCTTAATAATTTCAAAGCTTAATTGGGAAAAAATCTTAGATAAAAATATCTTGTTAGAATTAAAGAAGAAGGATCTGAACTTTATTTTTTAAATGAATATTGTTAAATTTCTACATTGCTATAGAGCCACTGCAGAGATTATAATAGCTATGTTTGTTCTCTGAAGTGTTTTGTTATTGCCAATTCACTTCATGCAAAATAAATTCTCTATAAATATTCTCAGAAATATTCTGAATGGCTTTTCTACTTTTTTCCTTCTACTTAATTTTTGTTTAACTTTAGCCTAAGGGCCTAATAGATAATCATAGCCCAAGTGAAAGTTAAAAATTAACTCTGAACTAGTTTGCCACCTGCCTCTACCGAGGGATTTGCAGAGTTATAACTTGTTCAGCTCCTGGGAGCTGAGTTAATTATGGCAAATCACACTAATTAAATTATTCGCTAGGTCTTGATGAAAAACAAATCTATTATGTTACAGAATGCATTGCGGATTTGCCTTACGACTCCCAGCCTATCGTTCCCTGGGTTAGGAAATGCCTCTTCAGACATTGAGTTTAAGTGAGAACAGTATGGTGAAGCTGCAGATTTCTCTTGATGTTCTTTGGGCCCCCAGGCTTTTAATTCAATCCCCATTTGTTGTACAATTGCTTTGTGCAAATCCTACGTGTTACACCCTGTGTTACAGATAAAAAACCGATGTAAGAAATGTACATATAGAATTATACTACAAGGCAAACAAAAAATATATAATTAATATATAATTAGAAAATAAGGAAGAAAAGGATATGGATTCTGATGAGTGGAGGTGGAGAGGGAAGATTAAAGCTGAGTTTTAAAACAGCAAAACTTCTACATGCAGAGATGAGGAGGGCAACAAAGGGCATTTGAAATAGGCGACAGCATGACTAAGACGTGGGGCGGGGGAGGAAGAATGTACGTAGCCTGTTCAGAGAGCACACAAGTTAGGCTAAGGTAGCAGGCGAGTTCTTGAGGTGCGCGGCACACAGTGCTCCATACGTTTTTGGTTTAGCTGCTAATTGAGTTGCTTGAATCATTGAGCAGAGCAGTCATTCAGTCAAACTTGCCAGGCACGGGGCAGCTCTGAACTTGCCTCTGTGCAGGAGCTTGTCGGTAGTGAGAAGACACTGCATTACATTTCTTGCTCCAGGATGGGGATGGAGACAGTGATCTGACCTGTAAGCACCTGTGCACACACACGCGCACACACACACTTTTGGGGGGTCTTCCAGCGTAGGGGCAAGTCTGCCTGGGTTAAAATCCTAGCTCTGCCCCTTACTAGTTATGCGAACGTGGGCAATTTACTTCCTTCGTAAGGCTCACTTCCTCCTTGAGAAAGGACCATGATAACATAACACCTACTTTGCAGGAATGATGTGAGGATTAAATGTGAGTTAATGCACACACATTAACCAGGACTGCATCACACACCACCTTTGTGCAATTTAGAAAATTTCAACCCTCTCTCCAGATAGATACAACCTTTTGCCAGGGCACTCAAGTCAAATAAATGATGAAGACATTTTCAGTTCCTTGGTGCCTTCACCAATCACCCCTCTGCAAGGTGCAACCTGCACAACTGTCCGCAGAAAACCAGGAGAAAGGACTCAGCATAATGCTTTGCTCTAAGAAGATCTCAATAAATATTGGCCATTATTGTACTTATTAGGCGGCAAACCGCTGCAATACCCAGTGTTGAGGCTCCGTCGGAGACTACCTGGTTAAGCCAGTTATAAACAGACTGCTGTATTCACAATCCGCCCCTAAGTCTCAGTAAAGCGTTCAAAATACAGTCACACACGCCTGTGTGACTCTCCTCCCACTAGATGGCGCTGTCTCTCAACGCAGGCTCAGCTTCGGCTTGTATGGGTGGAACTGATCTCCGTTTAGAAACGGCCTTTATTTACCAGTAACTCAATCGATAGCCAGGTGGTGTTTGTCTTCCACAGGCTTCCTTCAGCTCTTTGTGGAGGAGGTGTTACATCTCTCTTAGAGCTTCCGTGTTCCACAATATATTTAAACACTGCTCCAAGGAAATGACTCTCCCTAGATGGTAGAAAGCGTCTGGAGGGCTGTGAGCCACTGTGAAGAAAGTCCATTAACTTCCTCTTTGAATCCAAAACCGGAATGGCATCAGTAATTAATTTACCATGTAACAGCCTCACTTTCCCGTTTGACCACCCCGGCCTTGTTACAGTGAGAGGGAAGGCAGGACCTGATCATTCCACTGTGTGGTTATAAAAAGTTATTCTCCAGACACCTAGGCTGCAGGCCAGGGGAAGGAATTCTGCCCAACTTAAGTCCTAAAGCTATATTTTCATTATTTCTATCTTCCTCTTATTTTCATTTGTCTCATTCTAAAAAATTTGTGAACTTCACTACCCAAAACATAGGTTTCTGAGGAGTCTTTCAGCTGAACGTGTTTATATCACATTCTGTGGATAACCTGCTACTTAAAGAAGTTACTTAATAAACCACTTTGCGGAAAGTAAGTTTTCTTTTATTACTATTTAAGTTCAGGTGTCAATAGACCGTATCTACTTACATATTTTTTCTTTTTTGTCATTCCTAAGTCTGACAGATTTTTGAGGGAAAGGTATGAGACTTCAGGGTATTTTTCAAAAGATTTCTGCAAACCGTTTAAGATGGTATAAATGAACTTTTTAGGTAAAGCAAATGGATCGATTAACG